TCCCCGTCCCTGTCCGCTGCCTGACCAACGTGTGGGTGCGGTGAAACTACCTAGAGGTGCATTTGGGAACACTCCTGTGCCGGGTTTTCTACCTCAGATATGCATGACCACTTCCCGAGGGACCGGGCGCACCACACCACGTATTTAAAACTGAATAACTAAAAAAAAAAAAAAAAAATTTAAATAAAATTTAAACTTTATGCAAACGGCCTTGGGTCCAAGCCCTCTGCCTTCCCCTGCTCCGGCAATCGTGCAGCTGCGGCCGGGCCCCCTGTGCTGTCCGTGGGGCAAGGGGTGCTGCGGGATTAAGGACCCCTCTGAACTCTATACCCTGCTGTAGGGCAGATCCATGCGAAAATTCCTCCCTGGGCGGCTTGGGCAGCTCCGTGGGATCCTTTGGGACTCATTTGTGCCATGCTCGCTCACCCCAGGAGCTGGCAGGGCTCTACAAATGTGTACCCGCAGTCTGCCCCCGGGCATGAACTTTGCCCCTGCCCTACAACCCCTTCAGGAGACCCGCTAGAGGAACTGGACTCGTATTTGGCCTGGGGAAGGGTGGCAGGATCAGGCCTTTACAGTGTCTGGATGGCACGAGCACCGGTGAGCTGTGGAGCACCACTTTTATTGCTGCCACGCAGAGAAGCAGAACTCGGCTGCCCTTCTCTGCCCAGGCAGCTCGCCCGGCTCTGGCACCAGCAGCACTTTCTCCCACAGATCCCCTCCTAGGCGCTGCCTTGGCCACATTTTGAAGGCGCAACATCCCCTCCTCGCCATCCAAATGCAATGGAAACCACGAGCCTCAGACATACGAATGCTCACACAGCCCAAAGTCATCCCTGCCACCTCTCAGGCACAAATCCTTAATAATCCTTAGTAATTAAAGCCAAATCCTCATTCCTTTATTCTGTGCACACACAATTCTCTTACCAGAGACTGCCAAGACGTGTGTGCACAGGCTCAGGGCCTGATCCTGACTTCCTATGCCGTTGTTCCCAGAGACACCAGGATAAACCCTGCCACTCGTCCGCTGCTCAGGGCAAAGAAAACCAGCACAGAGAAAACTTGTACATTATTGTGGGGTTAATCTGAGAGCTCAGCAGGGAGCTTTACATTTTCTATTTGAAACCAAGCTTTTGGTTGCGACTAAAGGTGTAGAAATAATGATGCAACATCTGTAAAATGCTGACGCGTCGGTCAATCTGCTTGTCCAGTCGCACACCCCAAAAATATCCCAGCTCACCCGTGGGGATGCAGCTTGGGTTTTACAACAACTGTGTGCGTGTGTACAAATACAGATGGACAGACACACAAACATTCGGGGGTCTGGCTGGCGTAATAAAATCTGGATGAAGGATCTGGCTGCACGAATCAGTCTTCCCTCGCTCCAGAGCCGCTGCACGGCTGCCTCTTTAGCCCCTGATCTATTTTCTGATCTCTTTGAGTCAGGCTGAGATGAAAATTGACTGCCTGAGAGAAGCAATGCCCGTAGTGGTTTTTTTTTGTTTGTTTGTGTTTTTTGTTGTTTTTGGGGTTTTTTTGGTTTTTTTGTTAGAGCTATAAAAAGTTTAGCATGGTACCAATTCCATGAGTGAAGTTAGAGAGTAGGGCATTCCTAAAACCAAACTCATTCAGGAAAAAAAAAGAAAAGAAAAAAAAAAAGAAAATGTACAGAAAATCAGCCCCAAGTATCCTATTTTATGGTTAAGATTCACAGTCCCTTAAAGTGCTGGGTTTTTAAGGGAAAAGCTCCCAAGCCATCACTAACACTGTAATCTAGTGCCCCACAAATGTATCCGGCCCCAATGCTGTTTACATGTGCCAGCCAGTATCCCAGCCGGTATCCCTGTATCCATACAGCACCAATCGGGGCTGTCCCTCAGCAGTGGATGAGGGAAAGGGTTAAATGGGGACCTGGGACTTGCTCTGCTGTGTGAGGCAGGGGTGACTCTGTACAGGAATCTTTTCCTCGGTCCTGGCACACCAGGCTCCATCTGGAATATCGCCCGCTGCCTGCAGACCTTTTACCCCACCGAAACCCTCCACTGTTTTATTTTACGGGTATCCAGCTTTGCTTCTGGGAAGGGGCACCCTGGACTGCTGGGCTGGTGTCCTGCCTCCATCCGCAGGAATTTTGCTTTTCTTACCACAGGTTATCTGCTGGCTGCAAACTTCTGGGGAAGGTGTCCCCCGTTCCAGCCTCCCCTGCTCCATCGGGATTTTGCAAGTGAAAACAGCAAGGAGGTTTTCCCATGAGATATTGGCTCGGGGTTTTGGGGGAGAGTGGGTAAAAAAAAAAAAGGAAATAAACATTTTCTTTAGCCAGGGACTTCCCTGCTCCCCAGAACGCTTTGGAAGGGCTGAGTTTGTTGGGAGTGAGTTTCATCCCCACCTCGACACCACGCACGAGGCTCTGCCGCATTGGGGCCGGGAAGGGGAGTCCAGGTTGAGCTCAGTGCTGGTTCCAGCCTAGGATGGCATCACCCCTTCACCCCCAAAGGGAGAGGAACTGCAGGGGAGTGGGAGCCCTGCACAGGGGCAGCTTCTCTTCCTCTGGCAGCGAACCGGAGCGGCTGGGAGCGAACTCGCTGCAGCATCCGGCAGAGCTCCCGGTGCTCCCTGCCCCAGAAGTAGCTGGAAGAAGAACGGTTTGGCCACCAGCTTGGAGTTTTTGGCTATTTAGGGGCCTAGCTCATGGGTCAGGGGAGGTGGTCCTGCACACACCTACGGCACGACCCTGCCGTGAACTTGATGCCGTTGGGAAGCAGCTCGCTCCGGGCACACGGCTGGAGTCGGCAGCTGCCTGGACAGAAGCACACGCGCACCGGGAGCGCTTGGCCTGGGGCAGCATCATACGTGCCATGTTCCCTGCCGCTGGAATCCAGCCATGAGGGATGGTGGAGGCCTGCCCTGGCCAAGGGGCAAGTGCTGGGGGAAGAGGGGTTGTCGGGCACTTCCCACCTCTCGCTCTGCACCCCTGGGGTTTGGTGTGCAAAGGAATGGCTCCTTTTTTGCCCTTTTTTTTTGTTGTTGTTGTTGTTTTTCCCCTCCCTTTCTGCCAAGCCCAGACCCTGCTTCTTGTTGTTGTAGGTATTTATGGGCCTGTTTATCTGATCTCGGGGGAGCCTATTCTTATCTCAGAAGCAGCAAGGGAAGGGTTACACTGGACAGCTCGGTAGACAGGATGGAGCCAAATAAAATACCAATCTGACAAAAAAAAAAGAAGGGTGGGGGGAAAGAAACACCCAGCCCCAGCCACCCACTTACCCATGAATGCAGTCCAGGTTGCAGGCTGGATTTGCAAGCCCCAAAACAGCTGCTGGGTTCAGGCAGACAGCACAACCCTGGCACAGAGCAGAGGAGAGCACGGTGTAATGATCCTGAAAGATGGGAAGAAAAACCTAATTAAAAAAGTTTCAGGTCGGTCGTTACGGCCGTTCAGTTGTGATGCTGCTGTTGGGTGTTTCCCTGGGGTGAGCACAGAAATGTCCCGGCTCGGGCTGAGAGGCACAGCCAGCCCCAGCCCTGGCAGGGACTCCCTCGAGGTCATCCCGAAGGTCACGGCCAGGGCCAGCGCTGCTGCCTCCTGTCAGGGGGCCCCTCTGGGCTGACCCCAGCCGGTGACACATGGGGGGGGGGGAGGGCATGGGACAAGGGCAACTCCCTCTGGACACCACCCTGGCAGGGAGCAGCAGAGAGCCCCACCTCTGCTTGGCCTCTCTGGAGCCCAAGTGTGCAGCAGGGCTGGGCCAGAGGGAGTAGGATGGGATGGGATTGAGTGGGATGTGCCCTCCTGCCATGCCAAGCAGGGAAACAAGGGCAGCCCCATACCAGGGGTACCCCCAGTCCTTGCCCCCTCCCCACCCCACTAATTACTGCTCTTAAGGAAGTGCCTGCTCGTTCAGGACATTTAAGGTAGCCCCAGCCCCGCTCAGTAAGGGGAACTGGGCCATAATTTGTTTTCGGTGTCAAGATGGCGTCAAAGATAAGACAAAAATCTCCAGGTTTGGGGTCTAAAGAGACAGGAGAAATCCTGACCCGGGGCCGACCTCGGAGGAATGGCCACAAACCCCAGTGAGTCACATGGCAGGTGAAAGATTTACTGCCAGGGGAGCTTTTTGATCCTCTCCCAACACTCAGAGCCTCTCAGCCCAGTTGCTGGCTCCCAAGTCAGACTGTCTCCTGGGAGCATTGCTCAGGTGGGAAGATTTTCTATCCAACTGAGGCTCCCCCCCCCTCCCCCCCCGATGGAAAGTTCATGACATGCAACAGCTCTTCCTAAAATCTCTGTGCTCCTGGAGTCACGTGACTCTGAGACACATCTGAAGAGAAGATGCATTTCGAATCCATAGCTGTAGAAATTATATCCAAGCATGGGAAGACTCTGGAGCCACAAGGTAGATGAAGACTCTAACTTTTTTTAACTTCTTGCTTTTATTTTTCTTTTCTAAACCAAATCCGAACTCACTGGGTTTTCACCCCTATGGCAGTACCTGCTTGGGACTGAGCACTGAGCTCTGCCCAGGGTATATTTTGCCATGCAGCTGCCTGTGCTGGGAGAAGACCGAGAACCCTGCTCCTTGGGACAATCTCCACAAAACTGTCCCTCAAACTAATGATCCATCCCATGCCCCTACCTCTCTGAAGCCAAGCTGCATTGCTCCTTTATTCCATGAAGGCCCTTCCCCCAGTGCAGAGGGCTGGGAGAAGTGTGTATTTACTCCTTTCACAAGACTCACGTGCTTAGGGTGGGGCTAGCCATGGTCACCACGGCTTTCTGCAGAATGACCCGTCCTCGTCCTGCTCAGCAGTGGAACAATCGCCTTAGCAAGGACCTTCTCTGGCAGTGCTGACACTTGGCTGCCGATTTTCCACTGATCTTCTCCCACGACATCTCAGCACAGCCCTCAGGTGAAGCTGGGCAGTATGGGGAGGCACAGAAGCCGGATTTGAGGTCCAGGATGGAAGCTGGCTGGGAGCTGATGGAGCAGCAGTGCCGTACAGCTCAGGGCAGGGACTGTGGGACTGTGCTCAGCAGGACCCGGTGCCATCCCCACAGCTCTGTGATGCTGGATGAGCTCTGCCTCTCCTGATCACTCCAAAGCTGAAGTGCAATAACAAACCTGCAGATCAGAGGGGCCAAGGAGCCAGATGGAGCTGCTGGAGCATGAGTGGGAAGCACAGGCTGGGAGGAGGGTGTTCACTGGTGAGAGGGGAGTGAGGGGTAGTTACCCAGGAGGCTTGAGCTGAGAGACTGCAGAGCAAGAAACCACGCTTGGAGGCCTGCTGAGTCCTTGTGACAGATCCCTGAGGTAGGGAAGGTCCTTGCTTGCAGTTTCCTCTTCCCCTGCTTCTTCTTTTGCATGAGGAATTCAGATCCTGACCACCCTGAAAGACTTTACAGTAACCAGAGAAGTAGGGGAATTTATGGCGTCACCGGTGGTTGAAAGCTGAGGGATTGAGAGGAAAAGGTTTCTTTTTTCCTTAGACTGGAGCTACCTTGACAAAATTCTCATGGCCTGTGACTGACCTACAGGAGCAGCCGAGGGGGAAGTGGGGACCAGAGCAGGCTGGTTTAATTGCCTTGGCCAGGAGCTCCTTCCCAAGCCGCGATGTGGGAAGGAGTTACGAGTCTGAGCTGGTGCACAAAGCTTGTGTCAACTCCGAAATTCCCTCCTCCGCTCACCTCCACTGTTTGGCTTCCGCTGCTTTGGTCCTGTGGCTGATGGAAAGGAGGAGGGCAGGCTGTGCACTGGGACTCATCAGCTTGACTCAAACTCGAGCCTGGGCTGCTGTGTTCAACAGCTCACCTGACAAACTGCCCTGGAACCAAGGCAGCTGCTTAGAGCTGAACCCACACAGTTCCACACCCAAGGCCTTCAAGGATCTTTTAGATTTCTCAGAATGTGGCATAAAAAGGTGGGAAGGCCCCTGTGGAGATAGCTTTGTTGGCTTGCCTTGGGGAGTGATGAAGGACTTGGAGAAGATGAGCAGCTGAGGGGAGTGGGGCAGACAGGATCAGGAAAAGGAGAGAAGGGAGGAAGACAAGGAATAGCCAAGGAATAGCCTGGAGAGGGATGGCATCTCCCTGGCACTGTAGTTTGTTAGTACCCAGTGTTATCACTGTGTCAGTGAAGGCCTTTAACCTGCTTTTCATCCCCAGGAAAAGAGAACCAGAGAGGGCTAAGGTGAATCAAGGCTAGCAGTAGTGAACCAAGGGCTCTGCATTTACAAGGGAGTCAGGGTTTATGGCCAGGAAAGTGGAAAATCCAGGAAAAAACCAACCTGGTTCTGTTGGAAAGGTGGACTGGACAAGGAAGAGCTTAACAGTCCCAGTTTGGGTTAGTGGGATGCTGATGGGGTGCCCATCACTGTGCTCTCTGGTCCCTGGCAGTCCACACCTGTGGTAGGAGAAGCAGCAGAGCCATCTCAGCTGCCTGACACTTCCCTCTTCCCCACAGCACCATGGTGTTCCCCACTGAGGGTGCTGTGGTGATCATGTAGTGCTTCCTGCAATACGTAAAGGGAACAGGTCTTGCAGAACGTTCCCCAAAAATTAAGTAAAAGCACACTGTGGGGGCTTTGAAGTACTTACAGGAGAAAACAGCACTGCCTGCAAGGGTAAGAGGTGGGAAATCGACTCCAGCTCCTGGCAGAGACTGAGTGCTGGTGGAACTGTGCAGTTATCCCTTACTGGGTAGAGGAAAAATAAATAAATTAACGAGAGAAAAAAAAAAAAAGCACCCTGAGGCTCTCCCCCACACACTCCTCCTGCTCAACCACATCTCTAAGACACAAAACCATTAAATCCACATTCACATTTTTTCCCCAGTCCTCTGTGCTGCCCTCTCTGCTGGGGAGAGCAGAAGTGATGCCTGGTTTCCATCAAGGCTGCGAGGAGGCCGCAAGGGCGGCTCACGCAGCGGATCGGACGTGTTCAATTTCAACGTCCAACCAGGGGGGAAAAAAAAAAAAAACCAAAACCCAACCCAAAACCCAAACAAACCGTTTTTATGATCTCCACATCCCAGCACAGCATAATCCCGCTTCCGGTCTCTTGACAAGTACAGCCAGCTCCTGCCGAGGAGGCATTTTTGGGACGGGGACACAGCCCTGGTGCCCCCGGCAGCTGCCCCGGGCTCGGAGGTGCAGCTGCCGAGCACCCACCTCCCGTGTTCCTGAGCTAACACTGCCCTCACACGGCAGCCGGGTGCACAGAGAAGGATGTGCAGTTTTCAGCTCATCAGGTCAATCTGCTGGTTCCTCAGTTTCTCACTGTGCACATGTTAAAAAGACTTCTGAGCAGATTCCGCCTTGGAATCCCCAGCGTAGAAAAGCCCAACGCTCTCCAAAATGCGAGGTCATGCGGTTCTTCAACAACCTCCGTCCTTTCTCCGAGTTGTCTTTTTGTTGCGTTCAAAAGACTCCCTGAATTGCACCTGTACAACCCACACGGGGTTTGTCACAGACTATCTCATCAGCTGAGTTTTCTGCTCCAGGCTTGGCATTCCCAGTCAGCAGTGCCATTCTCTGCTCTTTGTCTGCAGAGTTTTCAGCCCCGGGGAGGTGGGTGGGAAAAGACGGAAGCCCGACAAAAAAAATCAACATCCATACAAAGCAGAACTCCACTGGCTGTGGAGCCATCAGTGCCAAGGGCAGAAAGGCAAACAGAACGGAATGTAGGCCTTGTTGCTAGATAGATCATTTATTAAAGTGAAATTCGGCATCTTATCTTTGTCAGACAGTACAGAGTTAAAGTCTCATACACAGTGGAAGCAGGACATTTCCTACACCTCAGAGAAATGAGTTCTACAGTTTTTGCTATAAGTTACTAATTTGCTTTAACAATACACAGCTATATTACACAGTTAAAAATACAAGGTGTCCAAAACATTTGGCATAAGATCAGCACAACACATGGAGGCCAGAAACAGAAGAGGGAACACAGTTTTTCTCTCCCAGTAAGCCTGCCAAAAGACTCCAAACCATTCTGCAAGTTACCTGCTACCCATCTCCCCTGCACCAGCTGAGGGGCAGAGCTGTGTGTGGGACAGGAGTAAACCCAGCCCTGTTAGGGCTCAGGTTTTCCAGAGGCTCCTGGAGCCTGCTGATGTACAGGATGGTCTGCAGAGCTGCTTGCAAGGGAAGTTCAGGTTTAAGGCAGGAGCCCTCCCCCTCTCCCCATACTTTCTTCAAGCATTTAATTCATCCCAATCAGATGTGTTCACAGGCAAGCCAAAAATGCGAGACCAGGGATAGCTGTGAAAAGTGCAAGGAGTATCTTACATTGTAACAATTCATTTGCACTTCTAAAGTGGGAAACGAAAACTCCCTAACTTGATAAGCTAGAGATGGCTAAATTACATCAGTGACACGAGGAGTGAGGCATCAATAACATTCCTTCACCTTTGGGACTCTTCAGTCAATAATCTGGGCAGTACAGGAACTCCTTTTGGATGGGAGGCCACCTTGTACTACCACTTCTTCTAAACTGTAGAGGCAAAGTGACTCTAGTGCTCTAGGAAAGTACAGCCATCTGCCATTTTAAATAAACAGTCCCTCAGCAGACCTAACCCTCCCCTCCTACTGCAGTTACTGCCGAAGATCTCCCATTGGTATTTACATTTGGCTCAACCAAAAGATGTAAAGTGCACAGCTCCCCCTCCTCTCCCTCTCATAAAACATCCATCACAAGAGCTGATGCAGAACAAATCGTCCTCCATGCTGCTGCCTGTGGAAGAGTGTTTTGTTCAGTCTCTCTGTGGGTCATGTCCTGTTTCATACCCTCTGTGCCATCATGACCCACATGAAAACTCCCATTAACTGTGAATGATTTCAGCTCTTGTATTCAAAGCCTCTCCGAGCCCAGCCTGCACTTTAGACTCACTTGATACGCCAGACTTGATGTGTTTTGGTCAAGTCTTGCACACCGGGGTATCTAGTGGTTTACAGCCACATTTCTAGGAAAAACTGGGACCCAAAATGCTGGGGACAAGTGGTACAAACTTGCCCGCTCTGCTTTTCTCGGGCTGAGCATCTAAAGTGCCTGGCAAAAGAACCATTACCTTTTAATGCAATTGTGTACTTCAGGTTGACAGACAGTAACCTCTGAGATTCAGAAATTTTGAAAACTGCATTCTAACACAGCCTCCTCGGATATATTTGCACTTTTCAGCCATCAAGTTGCCAACAACTTGAGTCTTTGCATGCTTCCAGCTCCCTTGAGCTGAGCGCGAGCCCGTAACTACTAGCAATGATTTCGTCTTCTTCCCTTGAAGTGCGCAGAGGGTCAGCATACAGGATGAAATTAACCCCAGAAGAGATGTTTCTGCATTATTTGGATTGCATACTAATGGCTTTGGATCTATTCAGAACTCTAATTAGGTTAATGCAGCTCTTCAATGAGAATTGAGCTAGGCTATGGAATTGCATTAGGCTATATAATGGCTGGAGACCTTCAGAGATGATTCCTCTGCCCCAGGGTGAATGTCACCTATGCAGGCTTGTAAGAAAGAAGCTTCCACTATTATAAATAGAAGATGACATCTGGTCATCCTCCATGCCCCCAAGGCTTGTGCTCCATGGTTCAAAGCTAGACAGAATTTAAGGCCCATCTGTGAAAAGCAAAATGCAAAAGGAAAAAAAAAAATCTTATCATACCAGCCAAAGCGATTTGGGTCTTACACCTTTCCAACAAGTCCCATCTGAAAGTGCTGAGAAAATGTCCCACCTCATGGCTTCACAAGTGTGAGGTTCAAACACATTTACTTCGAAGTTTCAAATAAAAAAGTTGGAAAGTTCGTTTGTTTTTTTTTTTTTTCTTAATTGGCATGCAGCATAAGGAATCGAACACACAGCACGGTATTGTACACAACGACAATTGCATTGTTGCGTTTTCTGGTTATTAGACACTAAATGCTTTTCAAGAATCACAGGCACCCTGAACATGGATATTGCTACTGAATTGACGTGTGGTTTTAGTTCATAGCACGGGAGCCATCGAGTGGCTGACCCTTCCAACAAGACATCGGCTTTCTGTCGCTCAAGGCGTTTTGCTCTAGCTAAATTGAGAACAAGGTAATAAGGCATTTGCAAGGGGTTTATAAGGCCATGGGGTCCGACAGCCAAAGAGTCTTCTGTTTCTTTGGTGTCTTGCCTCCAAGCTTTCCACCTTATAAACAACTGCTAATGGCTGGTAAACATCTCTTCATCATCACACTTCACCAAGAATATTTTTCAAAAAAGTAGAATTGCTTTAGAAGTGAAACCAACAAGGATCACATTTCACATCAATTGACTATTTTCAGGAAAAAAAAGAAAAAAAAAAATGTTTCCTGGATACCAACTCTGCACAAAAGCATTCCAGTGAATACACCTGAACGGATGGAACCTGCCACCATATTTCCTTGAAAAGAATCATTTTGCTGATGGCTACTAAAGCACCCCAACAGATTTATTTACTCTTAGAAATAAAACAAAATAAAATACAACAACAAAAAAAGTAAATCCCAAACAAACTACATTTTTACAGTTTTGGTCTAGAATCACAGAATCAATTAGGTTGGAAAAGACCTCTGAGATCATCGAGTCCAACCTATGACCGAACACCACCTCGTCAACCAGAACATGGCACTAAGTGCCAAGTTCAGTCTTTCCTTAAACACCACCAGGGATGGTGACTGCACCACCTCCTTGGGCAGCCCATTCCAATGTTTAATCACCATTTCCGTGAAGAATTTCTTCCCAGTGTCCAACCTAAACTTCCCCTGATGCAGCTTAAGGCCACATCCTCTTATCCTGTCGCTGGTTGCCCGGGAGAAGGATACACCTGGATACACCCTCCTGTCAGGGAGTTGTAGAGAGTGATAAGGTCAACCCTGAGCCTCCCCTTCTCCAGGCTAAACAATACCAGCTCTCCTAGCTGCTCCTCACAGGACTTGTGCTCCAGATCCTTCACCAGCTTCACTGCCCTCCTCTGGAGTTGCTCCAGCACCTCAATGTCCTTCCTGAATCGAGGGGCCCAGAACTGGACACAGGACTCGAGGTGCCTCACCAGTGCCAAGTACAGGGGAAGAATCCCTATGAGGCATGGCCCTCTCAGTTCAGAAACTCACCTTCCCTTGGTAATATCCTCTGATGACATGAGCACTTTGAAGATTAACGTGCAGTCAGAGAATGTACCCTTTCAGCGATATGTCCTGAACGAGAGAAGCCAGACGTGTTGACTGATGTGGGAATTACTCCACCCTTTCGATAAGGAAAGGACCAGCATAATTAGTTAATTTTTAAACATTCATGAAATACCAATGCAAGACATTCTCTCCTCACTCCTTGAACCTCTCTCTTGTCTGATGTTCCATACTGAATCGAACAAGGAAATGCTGAAACAATCACACGCCCCACACGTCACAAATGGGACGTGTACCATAACAGAGTATTTCTGCATATGACACAGGACTCAGACACACTGAAATCTGCTGAACATGTTTCTGGAGTATTAGCAAACAATTCAGAGTGATGTGAACAACTTGATTTAAATTGTGACTTGATTTTTAAAGAGACCCTGGGAGAGCTTCAACTAGAGCTTCACTATGAGAACCCTTCATGCCTTACGAAACACAATGCAGTACTAAGCTGGGACCATGACCTGTGTGTTTAGCTCTTCAACAAAGCTTCATCCAGTTTTGGAGTATTAAAACCTGCCATTTACAAAATGCTAGCTGAAGTTTTCTACTGCTCAGTTCGTTGCTTAAGGCTTGTTGAGAATACCCTCCCTATGTGGAGTCTTGGCATCTTGTACCAGAATGGAGACATTGGTTAGGACAGCAAAGAAACAGACTGGTGCCTTAAATCATGAGGTCCCCTGAAGAGAATTTGAGGTCACTGGAGAACAGTCAGTCACGACCAATACTTTTATAAGCTCCTTTTGCCAAAATAACCACTATGTTACTTGTAAGGACACCTTGGTTGTAAATAAATTCAGAGTGATCTCCTCCTACAGTGCCCAGTTAGGAAGCACCAGGGTGCCACCCTCACTCACACAGCTCTCATGAAAGCCCATGTAATGCTCATGAAAGGCAAATGCTTTGATACTTCTTGCCTGTTTCAAAGAAAGATGAAGTGCATCATGAAATGCTCCGGTCAGATCACTGCCCTGGTTGTGGTGCCTCACCCATAACTCTGCTTTATACTAAACAGAAACTGCAGAGCCCCTGAATCCACACAGCAGTTTGGTGACACCTGCTACAGCTTCAGTATAGATTTCACAAAACTTGTGACTGATACTGATCTGACACAGAAATTAAGAGACTGATGTCTTGACCCAACACCTACTATCGCTGAAATATGTATAAGCGAATTAAACAAGCACTTCTACCAACATGACCAGACCCAGCAAATAAGCTGTGTTTGCCTTAATACCACATTCTGAGGAAATGCAGAAGTTTTAAAATTCTTACAGACAATTTAATTAGTGAGTTCTTAAATAAAAGAAATGAGAAAAAGAGGTTGCAGAGACTTGGTTGGCATCCGTGTCGGATGGGGTCGGGAGGAAAACTGGTAAAAAAAAAAATCAATTTCAGACTAGTCAAGTAGCATTCACTGGAGTAGATCTGGTGAGCTGGAGCATTTGTAGAAGTTTGGGACTTGAAGCACTGACTCAAGGCAAGACAGAGCATGTGTAGGTGAGGAGCAAGCTTCAGACAAACTTCTGACCCATGCACCTCAATAATGAATTTTATCTCTGCTGCTCTTCCAGTCCTGTACCAAGACAAACTGCATGGTGTTTCATGATGCAGTCTGAATTCAGTGAAAAAAATTCCATCTGGGATCTGAATTGCACTGAGATGCAGATGTCCAGAAATGGTTTAAAACACCAAGCTGACAAACTCCACAGTCCTACAGGTTTACTTGGTTTCCCCATTATCCTCATTTCTTTATTCCAATGTGACTTTGAAATGAGGGGAAGAAGTCTTAGGAAACATGTTGGGCACATGTTTTCAAATACTCCTGATAAGAATGTCAATATTTTTTCTGTCATCCAGACACTGCACTTAAAAAAAAAAAAATTTACAATATACTTTAACAGTTCTTATATACCTAAAATACACAATACCATATGTCTCTCTTATTCCAAGTCTTGTTAACCTTCAATCTAGTTGCTTGCTGCCTTCTGATTTCTGGTCCAGCCTGCTCTTGTTGTTCTTCACCATGTAGATAAAATATGCAAGTGTCTCCTTCTCATTCACCGGAATATTCCTGAAGTGACGACTGACAGTCTGGAAGGACAACATGTAAAAGAGACAGAAATGCTGAAATTAAACAGTAGAAATAACCAGAACAGGGTTTCTCTTCACTTTCCAAAAACAATTTTACAGCCACTGAGCACAATATACTTTTAGTCAAACATGCACCGATTCCAACTGTCAGCCCTCATTTACCTCCCTCTCTCTTTACAGATGGAATGTGTGTATGAACACAGCACAGTCTTGCTGTGTCAGCAGGATTTGCAGCCAACCTACAAGCAGAATTTGGAAGCCAGAATGTCCTCCTGCCAAAGCAGGACGGCTCCTCCTGAGTGACAGTTCACGCCGAGATTATTTGGTGAGCAAGTTTTCTCCGTGTTTTAAAGGAGAGCGTCGCAATCACTGCAACACTCTGCTGTGTGAACCAGACGTAGCACAGTTTTATCCAGAGAGCTCTCCTTTGGACTCTTTAAGTTCTCACTGAAAGGAACACCCAGGGGATTGGCACTGAGAGGGTTAGGATTTGATGAGGGCTACCCCTCTCTGACACTCTCATAAGCCCTGAACCATTAGTTGCTTTTTCCTCAGAAAACATGTTGAAGCTGGATGAAATCTGCTTCTCACATGGAAGCTTTTTTTTGGTACAAAACTCAGCTCCAGAACGGGATTTTGATGCAGGCTGAGCAATAAGTCACTCCAAGAAGATTTATGGAAGTTTGAGTTTTCCTTACGGTGGGATAGCAGCAGGAGTGCAAGAGCCTCAGGCAGCAGTGATTCAAGCATGGGAGCTGGACGAGGATCCAGCGTAGGGTCAAAGCTGCTCAGACTCCACAGGAAATCTGGGAAGTGTGTGACAGCTTTCAGTTAGGCTCCCTTTATTTTCTGCTTGCATAGCAGTTGATCTTTTCTTTCCTCTTGGCAACATTCACAGTAAATTCCCTGTGCAGGTAGTCCTTCATGGCAGGAGGCAGTTTAGTCGAACATAACTGATCAGAACTACTGATGAGGGATACCCTCACCATGCTTTCTTCAACTTACTCCTACAGGCACTACACTACAATTTCTCTATACGCTGTATGTTCACTCCCTAGGTGACTTAGAAAGAGAGAAAGACAGTGTCCTGTTGACTTTTTTGGTCTGCTGGTTTCTGTTCTTTAAAGCAAGAGTAAAAGCAAACTGGAAAGTTTTAGGCAGACAGTTGTGCAAACCATTGCTTACAAAACTAACCTCGCTACTGTTCAGTTACTGTTACAGCTTCTTGAAGTTTAGAGAAGACTTTTCTCACAGCACATCATCAGATCAAGTCAGGAAAGAGAGCAGAGCAGATGCACACCAAGCACAACTCACCCGAATAACTCAGAGATACAGAGAGTTCTTTCTGAACAAGTACCCATATGGAGAGAAAGCAGCAGCAGAGGCCCTTAAGGAAAAAGTCCTTTATTGACTTAATACAGAATAATCAGGACAAGGGAGGGAAATAAGGAATCTGAAGTCACGGTCAATGGTTCTGCCTTTAATAATAAGTAATTCCAACCAGTTCACAGTTGCCTGTGAGGAAAGAAAAACTACCAGAGGCACTTAGGGAGACCAGCAGTGCATACGTCTGAGTTTTAGTTAAATAGCCATTGCCAGATTACGCCCAGGCCACAGAAAACAGGTTCTGTTTCTGCTCCCTAAAGGTCACCGATTATGAACAAGGCAGGAAAGGAAGCAGAGATAAGCCAAGTTACTAAAACATGCTTTTAAGAGCCAGCTTCCATGCCTTCCATGCCTGTCCCAGGTGAAAGCAGCTTTCTGTTGGCATCATCCTCTGAAACCCCTTGCAGAGCACTCGGTACATACCAGTGAGTCACACAGGTATGAGTGCCCACAAAACATGCGCTTGGAAAGAGGAGATAAAAAGGTTTTTAATAACAGAGATAACGCTACCTCTGTCATCACTTACTTCAGCAAGCTGAGCCTTGTTGAGTCCAGGCCTAGTCTGCAACTTATAATGTCTCTTGTAACGTCTCAGGGTGTTCACTTGGAGCTGGAACAAGTCAACCTGCAAGTGATGCAGAGAATAGGGGATGAGCACTACCATTAGTTTCTATGAGTAGTTATTTTATCTAAAAATAACTACTTCCTCAACAGGACTGCTCTTTGCCTGCATTCAGAACCACAATGGTTTGCTTTACTGACAAACCTCAGTATATTTTGTATTTGTTAATGCTAAAGGACCAAAACAGCCTCAGGGAAATAGAAAATTTTGTTCTGGTTCACATGCTGTCAACAGAATTGCTGGCCAATTTCTGCTCTCAATTACACCTCTGCAACCTCCAAGTAAAGGGGAACCTTTTGTTCCCACAAGGTTTAAAAAGCTCACACATGAAATATCAATTTAGCAGGCACTGAACAAATGGCTTGTGACATAAAACAGAGCACAGAGATGAAATGAAATTCAAATACTTAAATGGGAAGTGCACAGTTTAAAACCAAAGGGGGTGGTAGGGAGGTTACAGGAAGAAAGATGAAGATCATGTGGAAAATGCCAAGTTTCAAAGACAAAAGGAATCTGTGCTGAAAAGCAAGAGGAAAATTACATTAGAACTGACACGGTGCAGAGTTCCCTGTTCAGTTGGGTGATGTGCATCCCTTGGGTTTCAGCCACCAAATACCCTCTGTGCTCTACAGCACCATTTTTAGATGCCAGCTGGGTCTTCGGCAATCACCCTGGCAACGACTGAAAAGCCTGACTAGGAAAGTTTTGAGGGAGAACCTTGAATGGAAACATCAACAACGATAACAAAAGGTCAGGTATCCTTAAAAAAAACCCCACACCAAAAACTGGCTACTCTTTCAACACCTCCACAAAGGAAATGTGTGCGTACAGCTTTGTACCAAGGCACAGCTTTGCTGGCAAAATGAACTCCTGGTGGCTTTTTTTTTTTTTTCCCCCAGAAATAAAAGGCTTTTTGCCAACAGGGTTGGCATTTCCAGCAGAGGGCTCTGCTGACGTGGCCACAGCTCTGCTTCTCCCGATTATCACCTCTGCGCAACTTTTTGCCGTGTCTACAGTACCAGAAACATCACTGAAGCAAATGCAGCACACAGTGGCACAGAGAAGGGATTATTCTAGAGTTCTGTATCACAGAAAAGCTCCCCCAGGTCTATTTCCTGAAAATAAAAAGGTGTTACAAACTATTAAAAGATAGTTTTAAATAGTCCCAAAAAATACCATATATGCAAAGACCTGGAGAAGGTCAACATCCCTGGATATCAAATACCCAATCAAAGAGAGTGACCTACTGAATTCTCTAGTGTATTTGGAGACTGATGCATTCTAAATAACAAAGAATCGTATTAGAGCCTCAGACACCACCAAAAATAACTTAAAACCTTTAAAAAAGAATTAGCATCAAATACAGTTTTAACTGTATGTACAGGAAGCTGTGCAGTTACCTTATCACTCCTCTTTTTATGGAAAACTTTACATGGGCAAAGAACTCATACAGGAAAGAAGCAGAAAATTAGGACATCACACATGGGAAAAGAGTCTTCCTGGAAAGGGAGAGTGTCGACTCTACAGCAGCTTCAGTGGACTTGCAATTTAAAATGTAAATATTTTCTGATACGTGAAACCCTCCAAGTGAAACTTCAGCATGCTCAGAATCGGTAAAGCAGCCCACAAACCTCTGGGACATCCGTGTCATGCTCAGGAGAGTCACCTCCATCATCGCTCGTCTTCCTCTTCCTTTTGTTTCGCACACTCTGAATGAAGTTCTTGTGAAAATCACAAATATACAGATGTCTCACCTAAGAACCAGAAGGGGTGAAAGAGCAATTAAAACAGGTTCTGTGAAATAGCATCGAACAGCAGCCACTTAGACACCAGTATCAGAGTCCATCCCCATGACTGGTGTGACTGCCTTAAGGAATTCCAAATCTTAAACCCTAGGCCTGATATCACACTCTTGACTTACAAATAATTTACATTACGAAGACTAAAGGCAAAGAAAATTAAGGACTCGAGCTCCACCTGAACTTGAACCTCTGCAGATAATACACTTCTTTTTTATGGTTGCAATTGCATGTCAGAAAAAAACAGGTCCTTGTCTGGAGAAAGTACATTTGCTTCAGGACTTACTGTCAGCTAACTACTAAGGAAAATACTACTGTTTCACTCTTGTGAACTTTCTGGCTTGAACAGTACAGAGGATTATTGATGCCAGTGTTTCAACACCTTGAACAAATAAAAGTTGGCTAATTACGTCAAATAAAACAAACAAACAAACAAAAACACCCAAAAGCAGAATTGTCGCTTTCCTACCGCTTGTTCAGCCATGGAACACCCCTTTTAACAAATATTATCTCACTCAAGTTAGCAAAACAAAGGACCTCAAATGATCAAAATCATCTGGTATCTGTAAGGTTAAAATATTTTCAGATGACACAGGCAACCTACATCCGAAATCCCTCCATGCAGCCTTGCTTCACACTTTCCCTTTGTTCGGAGTTCATTAGTCTGATCTCCCTTTTATGTTTCTAAAGCCTTACATCCTGTCAACAAAGGCTTACTTCTGAAATACAAGAAATTACTATGCCACTAGACCAATCTGCTGAGACTACAGCGAGGAGAAATACTCCATTTTTTAAGAATATGTTTCAAATTGAGTCACTCTCTTCCCGTGACACGATGCGTTTCAGCTGTGCAGAAGGGACCCAACCAACCGGGGAAGCTGCCAAACAGACTGACTGAAAACTTCACCTTTTTGTTTTTTCCTTCCCCCTTTGTTTTCAGCGGTTTTAATCTTTAAAGATCTGGTAAGAAAAGCGTGCAGAGCTGGATTCCGTCTAGCGAGTCACTTCTGAGAAATTCCTTCGGGCTGCTCTGCTCTCCCTATTTCTCTGCCGGGAGAACGACCCGCTTCCCTCTCGAGCTGACAGCTGTCACTTAATGTCACGAAGCACCAAACGGGGCTGTTCGGGGTGCGAACAAGCCCTGCTGAGGCGGCAGCACATCTCGCCGCCAGCTCATCTTTTAACCTGCTTCGCTACAGCACCGATTCCTACCAATTAAAGCAGCAGCGTCAGCGACGCCTCGCTGAAGCACCGAGCGCTGTTTTCACCTGACAAGCGCCAGCGTTTCCCACCCGAAACCGCAGTGGAAAACACCGTCCCTGCCTCCGGAGCTCGGGCGGCTCGCTCAGCATCGCCCGCCCCCCAGACACGGCGTTCTGTGTTCCGCGCATCCCGAGACTCGCCGCGCTGCGGGGAAAAGCCGCGTCTGTGCCGGGGGAAAAGCCGGTTCCGCATCCAGGCACGTCCTTCCTTCCCTTCCCCGAGCGCTGGATGGGGTAAATCGCGGTCCCGAGGCGCCGCGCCGGCCGCTCGCAGCCCCGCACCGCGCACCCCTCTGCCCGGGGGGCAGCGCCGAACCCCCCCGGGCAGCCGGAGCACAAACTCGCCGGGCGGATCCGCCGCTCCCCGGAGGCTCCGCAGTGCGGTGGCGGCTGGGGCCGGCCCGGCCGCCCCTCCGCGGGGCTCGGCGGGAGGCCGCGCTCACTCACACTTTTGTCGATGTCCAGCTTCAGCTTCTTCTGCGAGATGCTCTTCTGGATCCTCTTGCTGAAGGACGCGTTGCCGGCGGGGCGCACGCAGCGGTCCCCGTCGTCGATGAGGCAGCAGCTCTGGCCGTAAAAGGGGGCGGCGGGCGGCCCATCCCGGCTGTCCTCCTCGGTGCTGAACCCATTCATCGCCCACCTGCCCGCCCCTCACCCCGCGCGGGGAGCCGACAACCGGGGAGAGCCGGGCGGGGGGAGACGAGCCGTGCCGTCACCGCTGCGCCCTCGGGGGGACCCCGCCGCCCCCGCGGGGGCCCCCCAGCCGCGGCAGGGGAGGGGACCCCCTGGGCCGCCGGCGCTCAGCGCTGCCCGCGGGGCCGGGCCGGGCCCCCCAAGAGCCGCCGCCCGCGGGGAGCCGGGACCGCGCAGCGCCCGCGCACACAAAACCGCCTCCCCGGCCGCGGAAGTCCCGCCCCCCGGCTCGCAGGCGCCGCTCCCATTGGGAGGCGCTCGCCGAGGGGCGGGGCGTCCCGCGCCGCTCCGCGCCCCATTGGGCGGAGGGGCTGCCCGTCAGGCGCCACCGCCCCGCCCCCGCGGCCGGAAGGTCGCCGTGAGGGGCGCGGAGGGAGCGGCGGGTCCCGGTCCGGCCTCCCCCCGGCCCTGAGGGCACCCCGCGGCTCCCGCCGGGCCCTGCGGGACGAGGAGGGAAAAGTCCCGGCCCCGCCGGCATCCGGGGCGTCCCCTGCTCCGCAGAACCGCACGGGACACCCGCGTCCAGACGCGGGACCGCGGGTTCCTCCAGCCGGCCGGGGCTGAGCCGGCACCGCTCCTGGAACAGCTGAACCTGTGACAGACCTGAACGTGCGGCCCTGGGACACAGCTCAGGTCGGCACAGCCACAAATGCCTGTTATTGGATACAGCGTCATGTAGGCAAGAGTTTCTGGCTGAAATACAATTTTTTATATTATAAGATTATATAAGAAATGTGTGATTTCCCTCTCCCCCCCCTTCCCCCCCCAATTACAAGGCATTGAAAAGATGGGACCTGGAAAAGAGTTTCCTAAAGCAGTCTGACTTTAAGCTTCTCATTTCTTTCATCTGCAGGAAAAAAAAGAAAAATCCGCACAAACCCAAAAAAGTAAAAAAAGGGGGAAGAAACGGGGAGGATAAGTGAGGGAGGGTGTGAGGGAGAAGGAATGAAATTCCTACTGATCTGTGAGGAAAAGATGTACCTTCTGGAAATGCCACGACCTCTGTGATACCAGACAGCAAATCCCATTGTCAGAGGTGTGTGAGCAGCTCTAAAGGGAAAAGGATTTCATCCTCCTCAAGAAAAGACTTCCTGCACAAGCAGAAGAAAGGTTCTGTAGACTAAAATTACTTCAAAGTCCGAAATCCTGCACGTGGAGCAATGTGCGTGAGCATCGGGTGAACTGTGCTGAATCACACACGCGAAATACCCTGGGAAGAAGGACTCCTTAAAGCCCTTGGTCATAGCTCAGGCTGCTCCACAGTAACACTGACAGGCACCTCGCAACCTGTTCTGCCTGCTCTGCACAAGACAACTGAGAAAAGCCAAAATCTCTATTTTCTAGGCATTCCTTACACTGCCAAACACGTCTCAGAATAAATGTGGAGGGGAGGGACTTAATACTCCTCAACAGTTCTGCCTCTTGTCTTTGCTTTTACAGCTGGTGCCCTCAGGTAGCTGGTAATTTCTGTTTGTCCATGTGACACGTAGGGAACCACAGTGCACCCTCCTGGGGAGAGGCTCCCAGGAGCCAGCCCTTCTCGTGGGAAGCTGATGAAAACACATGAATTTACCCACACACCAATAACCAGTTAGTAAAGAGCAAAGAGATTAAAATAAGCAAAACTCCACTGCTTATAAAAGCCCCAGGCCAAATTGCTTGGGATCTGCCTGCCTGAATTAATACCCTCCTGGCAAAACCAGATAGATACTCCCTTGTTTTGACGAAAGAGTAAACACAAAAAGTCTGATCGTGATCTTGGATCTCCTGGTACCAAGCTTTCCAGGTTTACCTTAACATTACCAATAAAGATCAAATGGCAGGCTGAGGAAATCTTGCAGAAGGACTATCTTGACACTCAGCTGTAAACACAGACTGTAGGGACAGGTGATAATAGGAGCAAACAAGATAAAAGGGAACATGACCATAATAGGTAGGACTTCCTCCTGTCCCCATGGAGAGGAGATTCTGCAGGTGCTCCCTGGACTGTTCTATGGGAATCAGGAATGGCTGGAGAAACAGGCACCATAAGTGCCAGAACAGGTCGGTACTGACCATCGGATTGTATTTCATCTTGGGCTGCAACCTCTCATCCCTGCAAATGAGAAGATTTTAAGTTGTTTTGCAATGCTCAGTAGAAGGAAAAACCCTGCTTTTGTCACTTTCTCTTCGCTAATTCAATGCTAATTACCTCCCTTCTCAGGCTAACACGACACCTTCTTACAGTCTCTCAAAATAAAAAAAAAAAGTGCATGGAGGTGTTTTTATAATTGCAGTTTATTTCAGCGTATTTATCCTCATGGGAATCTCCAGATTTCACAGTCTGCTAGTCCGGAACAAGCTTGCTGTGAAATAAACTGCCTCATAGAGACATTCTTTATTGGGTATCTATCACTAACCTGATCCAATAATTCTTTGTGGGAGCTGCAATGAAGTGAGAAACAATGTTTCATAAACCCATCAGCACCCAGGCAGCTTTAGTGCCTCTGAAGCAGTAATGGCCTGCCCATCCCAGTCAGCCTCTAATCAAATTAGGGGAACCTGCACTAGCCTGTAAATCTCACCTAGAGCAGCACTACCCTCTAAAGATAAGTCCGTGGTGTAGCTGTCATGTGGAACTTACTGTTTTAATGGAGCCATTCGGGGGGCTTGGAACAGAAATGCTTCTCTCCAAATGGTCTGTGCCGCTGGAGATGTCCTGGGAAGATGCCTCTTTTAAATTTTTTTGTACTCCCACTCAGAAATCAGACCATTTCCTTTCTCGGCACCTTGAGGTCCAATGGAAGCAACTGCCCTGGCGCCTTTCCCTCTCTCCCACTCTCCTCAGCACTTCTCTAGGGTGGTACATATTGAACCTGCTAAAATGCTTAAACTGTCACAGCTTTTGGCACATACTCACCCTGGGCAACGTTCCCGTGGCCAAGAATCACAGCACAGCCTTCCCTGGGGAACAGTTAACCTTGCAGTTATCTGCTGGTCCCCCCAGAAAGAGCCTTGCCTTTCCTTTCCTTTCCCTCACACAGGCTCATTTTCCCCACACACAGATTTTCACACATTTCATTGCTTGTCTCCCAGCCGTTTTTTCCACTGTTTTTCACCCAGAGGAGTTAAGTAAAAAGGAGTGCTGAGAAGGCTGCTGAAGAAATGAAGTGACAGCAGAAAGCACTGAGGGTCCTAGTGGCAACATGAGGGAACATGAGCAGTGCTGAAAAACTTCCCTTATCTCGGGCCAAGCCTGCTCTCCCCACATGGAGATCAGAACACAAACGGGGCCATGAGCTGTTATAGCCCTGGAAACCGAGGTGTGGGATGGACCTCCCAGCAGCTGCTCCCAAGGCAGACAGGCACAGAAAGGACAATGACAGCTGGCTTTTCTCCACTCCTCTGTGCTTCCCAGTGTGCCCTACCTAGGACCATCCATGGCCACTGTCCCTCAGGGGTGTCCTACCTGGGCACAAATCATCCACCATAGCCATGGTCCATCCAGGACAGTACCCCTGGGCACCTACTTGCATGAACGTGTCTTCCTCCACGTCTCTCCTAGCTTTGTCCACTCCAGCTTTGTCCACATCTTACATTTCTCCTCGTGGCTGCCACTCGCTCTTCCTTCTGCTCTGAGCTGAGGTGCTGCAGGATCCCCTGCTGGGCTGCAGTTCTGGGACACGATGGATTGTTCCCATTGGTTTCAGAGCTGCTGGGAAGCAGCTGTGAGGGGCAGACAGAGCTGCCCCCACCCGCCTGAGCCTCCTTGTACACCCAACACAGCACTCGGGCATAAGCTCCTTGGCTGCTCGTGTGTAGATCTATTCCCAGTGCAAAAGGGCAGCCAGGAAGGACGTTTCCTAAGGGGACTGGAGGACACCAGTGCGTGGCATGGCAGGAAGCCTGTGCTGGGAAAACACCCGACCAGGGATAACTGAGCTTATAAACAGAGAGAAGGGAAATACATCACTGGAGCAAAACAGGCAGGGACAGTCATGTCTGCGCACACAGTTTTCAGAAAACACATTAAAAATTTATTTTAAATATATTATAAAAGGAAGTCCATTCAACTTTAAAAACACTAGGCATTCTATCAATGATTCCCAATTTATGAAAGCTACTACATTAAAGTGCTACAAGTCCTTTACCACCCCCAGATATTAGGCTGTTGGTCCTAATATGCACAAAATAAATACACACTGATTCAAGAGGCACCATCCAGTTTTACAGAGAAAATGCATGCAGTACAAGGAACAGACAAACTTAGACCTAATCACCGAGATCCTGGAGAATGCATTTTGAAACCAATTCCCTTCTCCACCCTAGAGGCTAAAGCTATTTGTTGTTGTTATCATAAGGGCTAAGGTTTCAGGTTATTAGCTTGATCAGTTTTTATCTTGTTCTGTGGTTGAAGTTCACATTTGCTTGCTCACTAATTGGGATTAGGACTTTTTTCAACTAGAGTTGGACTAGTATATTTAAGACCACATAGATCCAGTGGCTTTATATAAAACTCCCAAATCCCTCACATCTGCTGGAATCATTGAAGTCTTTTGAGTCATACAGAAGCAACAAGAAAGCTCAAAATGCAGCAAATAAAGGAGTGTACTCAGCTAGCAGAAGCAGAGTCAGAAACAGTCATAGGCTTTTTATTAGGTTTTCCATAATCTGTCATTGCCTAGTTCCATACAGACCTCCAAGCTAAAGCATGGCACTACTAAGGAGAATTCGGAACAGGAGGTGAGTTTATTTCAGTTACACTTTAAATTTATAATGTGAATAAATCAATCTGAATGGTTAATGAGGAATATGAAATGAATTGCCAAGTCTGTGTTGAATGCTGATGCAAATTTCGGATCTCATTTCCCATTCTCCACCCATTGCATCTCTCCTCTCCACTTCAACCAGGTGAGGACTTGCAGCTTGATTTAAAATCTGGACTCAACACTCATTAGGTCAGGAAATAAAGCACTTAAAGGTAAATCCCACAAAAGCTGGGAAATTGCATCACACAGACTTTCCTTGCTTAAGATCAAGTAACAGGCCACAGTAGCCTGGGAGCAGGACCCAGTGATCCTGACTCCCAGGCCAGCTCCCCTTTGCTGTGTATCCTGTGAAACCACACAGTTTATCCATGAACCACAGGAGCTGGGAGTGGATGTGGGATGCAAGGTACACATGCAGTGCTTGTGCTGGCAGAGCCAGGCTGTTTCACACATGGCTTTACCAGGGCTATTTTGACTGGAAGCATGACAGGCTGACAGCCTGAAAACCATTCAAGTGCCTGTCCATATCTCTGAAAGACAAAATATAATCTTCTCCCTTTTCAACCAGCAGTTCCACGATTGCCCAGTATGGCTTTTAGGAGATCTCTCCCCAGGGTGATGTGAGCCAGCAGAGCTGCTGTGACAGCCCTGCAGCAGCCCCAGAGCACCGTGCTCTTGCAATGCTGGTGGTGCCTGTTTGACTCCCAGCATCCTGATCTCACTGCAGCAGGGAGGAGGAAAGTTTGCTGACTGGAACTCTCCAGTAAAGGAAAGCAAAGCCCTGTGCACAGGCTGCTGTAAAACCAACCAGGAAGAAAGTCAGGATGAGAAATTGCTTTCTTGCTACTTCTGTATTAGAGTTGTTAACATACCCTTTAAAAAGTTTCCCAGTGATGGAAGGCATCAACTTTTTCTGAAAGACACGTCTGGCTACAGATTTTATAAGCTTTTGGGGCTATTTGTGATTTGCATACTTAGAAAATAAAATGCAGGATCCTGCATGCCAGTGAAATCATGAGCCTTCACCATGAGGTGAAACATCCAACAGCTAACCCAAGACACCCTCCAGGCTAGCTCCAGTTGCTACAGCACAGCAGGAGGAAGCAGCCATCCTTTCCAAGTCTTCCTATTAGCAGTGATAACCTTCCCCAAGTCATTAACGATACTGATTTAACAGAGGAAACCCAGGAGCTTCTGAGTTACTGTCATTCACACAAATTTTGCACTGAAAGTCAGACATTTTAAAAAAAAACAACACACACACAACCACTGCAGAAGTCAAGCTTTCTCTTACATCCTTATCTCCCAGCTCCTTCCCCTCTCCTCTCTTGTCCAGCAAGGCACTAGGAAATGGTTCAAGTTTAAGCATTTGCTGTACATTTACATTTAAAAAGGCACATCTTTATTTTAATGACGCTGTATTCCCCTTTCAGGAAGGCTCCCACATTCTTCTCTTGTGGTGTAGAAAACAAAGTTCATTTCCCAGGTATGAGAAAAGATACCTTGCACACATGAGAGCCCCAAACCTATTTACTGTCTGTAAGCCTTAGAGATTAGCACCAGTAGAGATCAACAACAGCTTCAAGAGCAAATCAAAGTATTTTATGCAACACAACACACACCCAGGGATCCCTCTGTTGTCTCGGATTCTGATACTTAAAAGCAGCAGAACTTATGCAGCCATAAAGAGAGGGGTGTTTCAATACTTTTTTTGGGGAAAAAATATGAAAACATTTATTTTCCATTAGATAATCACCGGTATTTAATCTCCAGTCTTGACTCACATGCAGATGTGAAGATTTGCTTATGTATTCATGCTTTAGCAATTTTGCTTACAAATAACCAAAATTAATTGGAATAATTAACCAGATTGCCCAGCAAAGGCTCAGTTAAAGATTCAGATGATGAAATACTTCTATTTCTCAATCAGTGGATGGTTGGCTATATTAAGTCTTTGCATTAGTCAGCAAAGCCTCTAGGGTATTGAAAAGTATAATTGATGCAAATAAATTAATAGTTCAAAGCCCAGCGAGCTAGTCAGAAATGTACAGAATTTGTGAGGCACTTATCACACTCAGATCCCAAACCTTCAGCAAGCAGATAAACCACACTAAGAAGGACCTGGTAAAACCAATCACACTAAAGCTCCAGTTTCTGTGTACTGGTGGTGGGTTGTCAAACAGGAATTGCCTCAACTACTACCTAATGTTTTGGTGCAAACTACTCAGAGCTGACCTTTATCTCCAAATTAAGATCTCCAAGTGGTAAAAGACCTGTTCATTACTGCAGTTCTCTCTGAAGCATCCTGTGAGCCAAGCAGGGCTCTCTTCACAAGGTGAGCCCAAGTACAAAGCAAGCCATGCATTTTAGAAACAGAAGCTATTCCTCTCATTAGAAAACTAAGACACACAAAGTTGCAACCTGCAAGCAGAACAACCTACAGTCCATTTATAGAATCTGCTGATTGTGTCCCAATTATAAAAAAACTATCACTGTTCGTGGACAAACAGCTTCTTGTTCCACAGGTATTAAAACATTCATAAAGACATCTAGTCAGGCCATCTAGTGCTCCACACTCAGCACTACTAGACTAATGAGAGCATTAATAACTTAAGGAAAGCAGCAGCCAGACACAAAGCGCTGGAAGGTGACTCTGTCTCCCACGGAAATGAAAAGGGATCCTAATGACAGACATATTGTAGTAACTGAGAACATGAGATGTCAACTCTGCTTGATGCTGGTCTCACTTCCATACAATACTGCTGCAGAACTGTCACAAGGAAAACCTAGAGCTTTTTTTGTTTTCTTCACTCCCAAAACATTAGACACCAACACATTTTGGCAGCCTGGTCCCAGCTGCAATGCAGCACACAATGTTTCCCATGCTCCATGACTGCATGGACCAGGTAAGATGGCAAAAGAGGCCAGACATGGCCTCAGCTGTGAGGATGAGAGAGGGGAAAATGGTTTTGATCCACAGTCAGCACATCACAGTAGAGAGCTCAAGGGGCAGACAGTTGTGTCCGTTTGCCCCCAGCTGCCAGACACAGCCCTACCCGTCCTCAGAGACATCTGAAGCACGGGCAACCATCCTACAATTGGCAACATCACAAAGGGCTTCTTTCTTCTGGAGCTCTGCAGAGGGAGCCAGCCTGCTCACTTTGGGACCCCAGGCAAACATCTCCTTGCCTTCACATGACAGACATCCCAGAGCAGAGCTTCCCAAGAGTGCCAGAAGGGTCCTATCCCCTTCACTCCCAGAGCTGGCTGCACACTCCCTACTCTTGCAGCACTCCTGCATGGGCAGCTGGACAAACCAAGGAGCTGGGCAATTCCTGGCAAAGGAATCAGTTTTATGCAGCATCTGTGCACAAGGTTAACTGCATCATCATTCACAGATTTTACCAGAAAATGCCACTGCTGCCTTCAGTACAAGACTAATTCAATTAATAAACTAGTAAACCTGTTTTTGCAACAACTTCATTTTAAACCATGGATTTTTTTAATACTTGCTTCAGATAGACTTGAACCAATGGTACTCCATTCATGATTTAGTGTCAGTACATTCCAGCTCCTGGGATGAGACCATCCTGGTTCATGGTCTGGCAGATCCCACAGCCAAAACAGAAGGATAACACCTTGCACTGCTCACTGACTGCACAAGGGAGAGGGTACCAGTAAAATGGGTCCATCAATCCCACATCTCTGCATAAGCAAAGAGATTTTCAGTCACAGTAGACTGTACAGTGCCGTGGATGTTGGGACAGGAGGAGAGATTGATAGCACACTCCCACAAGCCTAGAACACTACTGACCACAGGACTCAACAAATTACAGACTGATGAACACATGGATAAAGACCAATGGCTAATCTGAGCCCTGAATTGATTATCCTGGATTAATCTGCTCACACCAATTGTGAATGGAAGTTGTCTGCACGTAGTAGATTTAACTCTGAGAAACCCTGGAGGTGTCTGTGCTAAAAGGATTATGAATAAGAAACAAATTTGGAACCTGGTATCCAAAGGCTCTTAGCAGAAGTCTTCACCTGTAAGAACTGTACTTACTTAAAAAACCCTCTGCTAATCTTTCACCTTGAAGATTCAACAGTGAGTGACAAACTGACTGCAAAGTGAATGGACCAGAGACAGATTTCTCATTGCTAATAACTACAGCCACATTCCCAACACTTGGCTGCACTTCCACTAGAGCTCATTCCTTCATCAGAGCTATGATTTGGAAAATAATAATGCTCAACCTGTTTGAAATATATTTGGTCCAGGGCGAAAAAATATGCATTTCATTTTCCACTGATGGGCTTTTTCTTTTTTTTTTTTTGATTGGAGGCTTAAATCTCGTGTCAGGATTTTACTTATATGGAGTTTGGAAGATAAAGCTGTGGGAACACTTCAGCAGGTGGTATAGCAGCTACAAAAAGTCCTGGAAGGGTCCTGGATAACAAAATCATTTAACACAAGACCCAGGTGGGAAATAAAACAAAAACAAAGGAAAAAAAAATCCATTTGAATCACATTCAGACTCCTCTAAAAACAGAGTTTCTGTTCAGTCTCAGCACAGAATTGGCTCTGGCAAAGCCTTTAAAATTCCACCATCCCCAGAAGAGAAGGATGCAGCATCTTCACAATAAAGACTGGCCTGCTCGTTAACCTTCTCCTGAGATTCTCCCTTTTACCTTCATTAAGTGTTTAAAAAAAAGTATTCTTAAAAAAATTTTTTGTAACCCTCCCCAGTAAAAACTATAATTGTAAAATATATATATATATTTTCTCAGTCTTTTAAAGATCAAGATTTCTGTTAAATTTTTCCAAGATGGTTGAGTTTGTGTGTTCAAATATCCACTGCTGTGTTGGAGATGAAGGATTGCAGCTATTCATAAAAATCTTTCGATCACTCTCACTGCAGTCCATACAGCTGCTGCTGACTGGATGGTAGAGAGTCTTGTCCTGGAGAAGAGAAATTTGATGTGAGGTTGCCAAGCAGAAAACAAAAAAGTATGTTTTAAAGCCAACAGAAAGAAGTCTTAAAAACCAAGGCAAGCTACTGTATCATTTGGGTGTACCCAGAGTTGTTCCACACTTAAATGGTTGGCAAGTGTCTGAGTTCATTCCCAATCCCTGCAACAGAATCCAGCCCAATCCTCACACCTGCACTGGGAAGCTCTAAAGCTGTCCCTAAATCCACAGGCTGTCCAGCCTACAGGCTGACATCCTGCTGCATCACTCCAGGGCACTGTGCCAGCAGACTGCAAGGACTAGGATAGGGCACTGAGACAAGAATTTACTTAACCTGTTGCTCACAATAGCTTAGCTGCTTTAGCAGGAGGATGAATAAATCCTTATCTACTTTTGGCACGATTTTCCAGAAGACACCAACTCTCAGAACACCTCTTTGCAAGCGGGTTTTGCAAAGGGGTTGCATCACCTCAGTGCCAGCTGTGGACACACTGCAGAGAGTGTCCCTTCTGCTCAGGAGCCCTGGAGCCCTCACCTTTCTAACCAGTGGAACGGGGGAGTGGCCTCTTTCTAATCAAGGTTAATTAATGGCACAATGACAACAGATTGCCTGCAGGTTCTCTTATTGAAGCTACGTGGAGAGAAGGAATAAAACATGAGTGGTGACATTTTACGAAATTTAACTGCCTACAGGCAATTTGACACTTTAGAAGAGAATACGCATACGCCCACACACACACAGACTCACTTTTCGGTATCTCCAGAGCTGGTTCCCCTTCATTCCATGACAGTCATAGAGGGTCACAGGGCTGCTGTGGGAAATGGCATCAAAACAAAACTTCTTGGTGTGCTGAGGATCCCCGGGACGGATGTCCTCTCTCCAGCTGAAGGTGAATACCTGCCAGGACAAACAGGACCCTCAGGGTGGCTGGTACTTGGGCATGATGTTTTCACCAGCAGGAGGCTGTTCCCTGTGCCCACAGGGTGGGGGTGACTTCAGGGAAAGGACAGTATCTTCTACAAAACTACTCCCACCTCTGGGGACAAGGACTGCTGACCAGGGCAGTCTGTACCAGCTGCCACACAGCATGTGAAAGGAGCCCGAGCTGCTGCAGCCAGCCATGCTGCTCAGCCTGGGTGTCTCTGCAATGCAGACATACATCAAGGATTAAATGAGCAGCTGACCAATTACAGCCATTCACGGCCAGCAAAAAAAGGCAGAGAGCTACAGGAGCTCTGAGTTAACGCTGGCAGTAAACACCCAAGTCTGCACAGCCAGCCTGCAGTCACTTTGAGGAGTGTGTCCCACACCTTCTGGGACCAGAGACCAGGAGCCCACAGCTTCCCATCCCACAGGAGTGTCAGAAGGGCAAACACTTGAGCGATGCTTCTTTATTGCTTTTCTCTACTGACCCTGCAATGAACTCTCAGTGCTCTCAGGTGAAACGAAGGGATGGACAGTACAGAAAAACAGAGAAAGGGGTTTATTTCTAGAAACTGGGCACAACCTATGCCTGGCAATGCTGTGGCCTTGATGAAAGTGTCCTCTGTGACCAGCACTAGCCAGCGTGGTTCTGCAGGGCTACAGCCAGCACTCCTCCCTCTCAGCCCCTAAGGAGAAGGGCTGTTCTGTGGGCTCCTTTGGAGGCAGGTGGAGGAATGGTTCTCTTTTCACAGATAGATCTCACGGGGCAGTAAGAAAGGCTAGTAACGATCAGGGTGCTGCTATCAGAAGCAGAGTGGCCAAAAACTTTTGCACACAGAAGCCACTTCGTTCCTGCTTCTCTTTTAATCCCCTCTTGAGAGAGAAATTACCACAATCATTTAGGCTCAACACTCCACAGAAGTTCAAGCAACATTCTCTTCCTAAACATAAGCCAACGTTAATTTTCAAGATCCTCCTGACACAGGGGCTTAGTTTTGGACTGTGCCTGAGTAAATTGGTTTTGTTTCTATTTTTCACGCATCAAAATTGATATGCAACAACCCTCTGTCTCCTACTACTGAAGCCATTCCCTGAAGAGTTATGCATGGCTCTGTAATAGAGGCATTGTTTTCTTGATCTTTTCTCAGCTCAGCTGCTACAGTTTAGACAAACTAATATTTTCCTCCCTTCTGTTACAATAAAGCTGTCGTTTCTGGCACCTTATATGTTGAGAGGGTGAATCTATAACCCGGCTGGTCTCATCTCTCTCCAGCAATGGTTGCGTGTTTATAATGCATTTGCCTCCTGTCAGGAGGATGATAGTGAGCGGTTATTGAATGCTCCTGCAGGTTCATTAATATGCATGATGCTCCTCTATCACTTCTTTCAGCACAACCTTTGAAGTTAATATTCACTTTGTTACATATTACAGCTGCCTTGTTACTGGTTTATTGTTTTGGCATATTGTTTCCTTGTGATTTCTTTTGTTCGCTCTGAGAACTTCAAAGCAGAGGTAAAAGCTCAGCTCAGAGTCTGCCAGCCTCCAGACCCTGCCACAAGCACAAGCCACATCCTGCTACCAGCTCGTCAGGAACAATCAGCCTGTGAGCTTTGGGGTGCACCTGACAGCTCTGCATTGGCCTTCCTTAAACGTTGGTTCTTGTAACTTGTCCATCCCAAAATTTAGGGGCCGATGATTTATCAGACGGACTGTTACCTGCACGTTGTTCCATGCTGCCTCTCCTCTGTCCTTCACGCAGTTTTCCAGCCTCAGAGGGGATCCCAGGGCTCCATGCTTAGTATCCACACACAGTCCAGTTCCGACATTGCGTATCTGAAACAGTAAATCGGTCACTGAATCTCCTGCTCCTACCAGGTGACAGGAAAGAAGGCTCAAATTGCCTCAAATAGCAGCAATATTTGCACAGAGACAATTTTTATGGTTCCTCACTTAACTGTCTGTCTGAGCTGGCAGGTAATAGCTGAAAGAAAGCACAGAACTCAAAATGGGACCCACTGCCAGCTGTACCATAACCTCCACCACAGAGCAAAACCCACAGGACTGCAGAGCCCACCATGATGTTGTGATGGTGCATCCTCCTCACCCACACTATGGTCTCAGAAATGCTCATTAGGCCTTGGCCTTGACAAATAGCACTGAGGTTCAGCTCCTCTTGCACTTATCAGAAACACTGTCTGCCACAGTTGTGTGTAGCAATCCACGACTCCACTCCTGGGGTCATTTTTTAACCAGAACACAGCCAACTTTCAGAAACAGGGATGGGTTTTCTGGCTTTCAGATGGGAAAGCCAAGGAGCAGAGTAGCTCAACACAGTTGTGAGGCCCTTTGGAAATACAAGGTTTCACTACTGCTCAGCTGCCTCCTCTCCCTAGTCCTCTCTTTGACATGTTCTGATTCCTACGAAATACACGGCACGTAGAACAAGCCAAGTCTCTGTTCTCGCTGTAGCTGAGCATTAATAGAAGCAGCTGCCTGCCCAACTGCCTGCTTTGATCAGGCCACTGCAATGGTAGAGGAGTTCTGGGCTTTGAAACATATCAAGCAGATCTTTAAATACTCGCTTGCACCTTACTCACAGCAACCCAGTACCGGAGCCCACGGGCGACCGCACAAAACCAAACCACAGCCTGTTTGCCCACTGCAGACACCAGAGCACAAACTTGCCTCTCCCCAGGCAGCTGCTGGAGGCTCCACTGGTGGGTAGAACTTCGGCAAGTCCCAGGCGACCTCGCTCATGAACCACTTGAAGCTTTTGCAGTTGAGGTTGTTGCGAAGCTCCTTCTGGGCCGCCACGTCCCCCGCAGAGAGGTGCCGGTACTCGGGTCTGCGCTGGTAAATGTACTCGGCGTACTCATCCATCCACACCTCAGCCACCCGCTTCAGGTTCTGTGTGGGCAACAGCCACGGGTGAGAACGAGAAGGAAAACCACCTGAGAGCACTGCACAAACCACTGACTGACATTAGCATTCAGAGCAGCTCGCATGTTTTCGCTCGGAAAGGATTTTCATTCACATCCACTCTTTCTCTCCAGCTTCAGGACAAAGATTATTTTTATTATTCTCTAGTTCCAAGGGACTTTTAGAAAGATATTTTCAGTTGAGGTCAAAAGAATCCTGGCACTTGGCCATTATATCTAGTTCCTTGTGGCTAAGAAAAACAACATTAATCAAAAGTTGTTTTTTCCTTTTTTTCCTGCAAAGAAACTAGTCAGAACATGATGCTGGTAAATACCACTGGACATTCAAAGGTCTCTGACAAAAAGCTGCTTTCTTAAATCCTTCTTATTGCATCTTTTATATCCTTCTAGAAATGGGATTTGCAGTACTCCCTTCTGGAAAGCTTCAGTTCACAGTACTCTTTCTTAGCACTGTTTTTCCATTTTCTTGGGTAAAACTCTGAGATACCTCAAGAATATGGAACTTTCAGGTGATGACCCTTCAGAACAGAAGCAAAGGTTTTACCTCCTGGCAGGAGTAAATTTCATGTATTACTGTAAAGCTTAATCCACTGTGCAATTCCAAGACAGCAATAAACACCACCCTCTCAAGATGTACTTGTCACAGCACCCTTGAGACTGCTGGATCTTGGACTGTTCTCTGGCAACATCAGGCACATTCTTGGTGCCAAGACTTGCCATGTGCAGTTGTGACTCCAGTGACCCAGCAGCACTGCCCACCTTGCATGGAGCTGGTCAGTCCCACAGTGATCAGTTTCCACCCAAAAAATTCGGATGCTAAGAGTGAGCAGTGTGCTGACCCTGCCCTGAATGCAGCCTCCAAATAGGAGCAGGTGTTTATCTCAAGGTGACTAAATGATCTTAGATGCCAAGAAACAGCCTTGGCTACACCTGCCTGCCATCTCCTTCAAGCACTGTGGGAGTTCACGAGAACCAAATACTGAATCAAAAGAAATACAGCTCCTTCCTGAAGAGATGGCACAGACAGGAGAGCACTCTGACAGGTCACTGCTGGGTTGAGGAATAAATCCAAATCTACAACCAGGGCCGTGCTATTAAACTGGGAAGCATTTTTACACGGTGCAAACCATAAACTGCAGAACAGCAGGGCACCTTTTTGTGGTTTTTAGTTTTGCAGCCTTCCTGCTTCTATGATTTTTTTCTCCCACCAGAGGGCAATGTAGTCCCTTCTCAATTTAAAAATTAACTGGAGAAAGCCAGTGCATGATAGGCAAAAGCTCTTTCCTCTTTGGGCTACACTAGATTAAGAAATAAGATGGCAGTGAACATTCCATTGTGGAAAATTACAGCTTGCCCATTCAGTGGTCTGTGATGCTTGAAGTTGAGAGGTCTTTCAATCACCAAAACGCAATCACCACGCTGAAGCCTGCTGCTCTTGGAGAGCACAGCTATAAAATGACTGAAGTATTATACAAATAAAGCCATATCTTGTTTTTATAGCCAGTGCCTCATCACAGAGCCCCTTCCCAGCACCCAGCAGTGGCCTTTGTCAGCTGTCAGCACACACGTCTTGCAGCTCCCCAGGCTCTCTTCCCTTTGTGCCACACATCCACCACAGCAAAACTGCTCAACTCGCACTGTACAAGTGCAGCTTACAGACCACAAAGCCTGTATCTGCCTCTCCATTGAGAGGAGAGAGGAGACAGTGACATGCTCATGTTGCATCTACATCTGTAGTGGGGAATGCCATTACCACTTACTCTTGCCAGGCTGACTCCTGTGGGAACCTTGTATGGAACATATTTCCTGTAGATATGACCAACCCTAGAGCAAGGGATGTCCTCCATGCGACCTCCACACATCCATACCTGTGGAACAGCAGAGAAACACATTCAATCTTGGTTTATGGAGAAAACTGGAAAAGGAAAAAAAAAAAAGGCTTCCAAGTAATGAAAAAGCTTAACCCAGATTTTTACATTAAAGTACACTCTTCCCAAATCCCCTCCTCTCCTTGCCTTAGTCTCAAATCCTATAACTACCCGCTTAGAGCCATGCAGCAAGCCTTGATTTAGCACAAGTGCTATCAAGCCTTCTTCACAGAAAAGAACAGGGGGGAAAAAAAAAATCCGAGCACCCAGAGAACAGCACACACCTCGCTTTAAACTGATACATGTTATTGCAGCAATAGTAACCACAATAGTTAAACTGGGCTGCCATAAAAACCCTGGGTGTAGGTTGTGTAACGATGCTGTAAAAGGGAGGCCATCTCTGTAGTACAGGTGGTCATGTGTTATGCAAAAGGCTCCAGGGAATTCATGAGCCCGTTCAAGTGCCAGAAATCAGAAGAAACTGCTACTTTTTCCCGTGGTTGTATCACTGCTCTCGTATGGTTTCATTGCTGACATTCACTCACTGCTTTTGCAGCCTTACAATTAACTGGAAATCCCTGCCTGGTAACACATAAATAGCTTTAAAAAAGCCCTCAGGAAGTCACTAGAGCACACTGTAGTTGGAGATGACTACCTTGATGCTTGGTTAATGTCTAGATTAGGCCCAGAAGCTTCCTTCCCCATCTGGGAAAATTTCACTCTGTGCCAGCACTCTGCAACAACATTCTTTTATTCCTTATTTATAGCACAGATGTACAAATTTTGTCCGCGTGAAAGAAGAGATGTTTTCTGAACCAGCCAATCTCCTCCATCAGGTTTAAGGAATATATTCATATGCTTCACAAAAAGACCTAAAGAAAAAGTACCCTTCAGAATGCCAAACAAATGACTTTCTGAATTCCTGAACCACGGCACTGCCTTGCCCTGCAGTTTGTCCCCACATCCGATGGCAGCGCCCCGAGGGCCGCAGCGTTTAGGTTGGTGCTGCAGTGCTCTTGATTCCCCCTCCCTTCAGTGTGGCTAATTTGAGCCACAGCAGTTCACTGTACAACGAGCTTAGTCAACAGCTTCACACATTGCAGGCAATTCCATTAATATTCTACAGCGACAATATTAAATACTTAGCTCGGAAGAGAAATATTTGGCCAAGGCTGCTGCATAATTATTAGCTCTGACACTAAAGTCCTCTGGAGTTTCAGCTCTGTCTACTGGCCCTAATAATTACAGTCATTTGCTGACTGTGTATAACTTAATGGAGGTTGGTTGCTCTCAGTTAGAGGAATATTTTTCACAGGCAACTTCTAAAGTTCAAGGTATTTAATTACATGTCGTTTTGGCGAGAGAGACAAGAAGAAAGTTGACAAACACTCCTGCTACAGGATTTCATTCCTTTTGTCCCTGCTGCGCCTTGAGAGGCTGGTACAGAAGAGATGAAAAAAGAAACTAGCACTCAGCTTCTGTGAAGTTTCTCATGGAATTAGAAATCCTTCCTATCCTGCAGCTGCCATGCTTTGGGCTGCAGAGGGCCACGGGCGTGATTTTGCTACTGGGCAATTAACAGATAGGCTGAGAAACAGCAATTGGGGCACGTTTTGCATTTCTATGACAGAAGTGGTTTGTGTAAGGCTGTAAGAGCTGCAACAGATCTGGGAACTATAAAGAGCTGCAGGAGCAGCGGAAGAATCCCAGAGCTCAGTTGCACAGACACACACACAATCCTCAACTGTATTACCCTTCCCTGCACTCTGCATCAAGCAAGCCTGGCAAGGTTCACAGCAGCTGCATTTTAGTGTAACGCAAACCTGAGTGCAAACACCAGCCTGTTATCCTTGCTGCCTGCCACAGGATGCCTCACCTGCCCCACATCTAAGTCAGGCCACCGTGAATACACCTCTCCTCTGAAACACGATGTCCCTACGTAAGGTGAGCAGCAGAGCCCTGCAGTCAGTACAGCTGGAGAGGAGAGCACTGCCCTTGCACTGCAGATCTTGTGAAGTGAAAACAGACAGCACTGATACACAGAGCCCTTTGCTGGAGAGAGGCAGAGGGTGTGAGGAGCTGGACAGGACCGATGGTATGTTGGACCAGGAGCTCCAAAACTGCTACAAGACTCGAGGCACAGAAAGACGACATGTAACGATATGATCAGAAAAGCTACTTAGCTGAGTTACTGAACAAGTAAAATCTAACATAATTTTTACATGCTCTTTTCCTGATCATGCTTTAAAATATTTACTTCTAAATGATGCTGCAATGGAGACAATAGAAGGCTTCCTGCTAGCAGAGCTCAGTGACCCTTTCAAAGTACTTTGCCAACTCTGTGCCTTTTTAACGGTGTGTCACGCTGCAAGTGACAGTGTGGCACCCGCAGTACAAATCTAATTTTAAAAGCATGCTTTCCATTCATTCCTTGCTGCTTTGATTTATTTTATTAGTGAGCTGCTTTGTGTGGTGACAGAACTCATTACAACATCCATAAAGACAATTACCAGTCCTTATCTATACAACTGGAAGAAGGGGGAGAGGGAAAGAGCGTGACTCGCATTGGTAAAACACAGCTAACAAAAGCATGAGAAAGCCAGAGTTAAAGGTCAGGAAATCGCATCCAGGGGTCTGTCAAGGAATAACTGCAAGGGAAGAAAATCCAAAATAGCTGTGTGCTCACTGAGGGAATGCTTCCACTCAGTGAGGTTTGGTTGTTTTTAAACGAGGGTACAGTTCCCAGGCATGACACACCAGAACTTACACTGCTAAAAATACCATGCTGTCAGACAGCTGAAACGGTGCTGATCTGTGGGGCAGCACCTCATGCCTTCCCCACAACACTGGCTGTCACTGACTACCTTCTCCTTAGGGCCAGGGGAGCCAGCTTCTTCTTATTGCTGTTTTACAGAGTTTTACAGAGATGGTGCCTCGCTCCTTGGCTGACGTGACAGTAGAACATCACAGCCTGAACTTGACACACTTGATTTCAATCAACCATTTACTAGAACACCATAAGAACAAGAATTAAAGCTGGTCAGGCAGACAGTGCTTTATACAATAATCTAATCAGATCTCATCGGGAGAGAACAGGAAATTTCTCTTCCTCCTCAGGCACAATTTTGCCAATCTCCATTTTGGGCTTGGAATCCAGCAGCTGACAGATCTGCTGGAATTAAGGGAAAACCTGGCTACACTGAGGTCAATGGGCCTACTGCAACAAATTTAGCTAAGGCCACAATCTCACCCTAATAATAAAAATGTACACAAGGGAAATAAAATAACAGCAAAGGTGATATTACTTCCATCTTCCCAGTGGCCTGGAGAGCTGTAACTCCATATTCATAAAGCCTTTTGACTCAGTCAGTATGCTATGAAAGCACCAGATAATATGCCACCTATTCTCTACATGGGAATGTTATGCTGATCCAATTCCCTTTCTGCAATTTCAGAAAACAATGCCAGGTAAGACAGCTGAACCTCTCCTCTCAAACACACAATACAATGCTGCAGTTGGTGTGCGAACACAAATTATCTGGGAATACAAGGTTTATGGTTTCCAAAGACTGCACCACGATGAGTCAATGCTTCCCAAGAGAGGGAAAAAATCACAAAAGAGAGAGTTAAGCCTTGAAAACAAAGCTGCTCCTGCAAGGCACAACAGAAAAGAAGACCATGGGATGGACCAACGGAGAGAAGCTGCCTGGTTGTCTGAGCACTCACTGAAAGGTGGGAAGAAAAAGACACAGAGAATAAGTCAGGGGGTTCTCTGCATAATAAGGAAGGTGAAAGGATGAAAGCAAGGGAAACCAATAATTCAGAAAAACTGTAATCCTTTGTATTAGAAGCATCAGCTGCTCCTGCAGCTGGGACTTAGTGCTCTATAAGAGATTAAGGTAGCTCATGGGGCACTGGGATCTGTGTGTTTGCACAGCATCTTCTCTCACATCACACACCAGCACAGCCCCTCCTCACCGTCTGGAGCATTCAAGAGTAATGACAGCACTTTCCAATAATCAGAGGGTGGAGGGGAGCCCTTCCCTGCTGCTGCTTGGTGGGAGGCTGCTCTGGAACCCGGACCAAGCACACAGGGTGAACAGAGGCAAAAAAATTCAAGTCACTGATCTGCCAACTGATCTGTGCATCACCAGATAGGAAGGGAGAAAGAAGCCACCCTGTATTGCAGCTGAGAGCCTTAGAATTAAGCACCATGTGCTGGCTAAAAAGATCCCCCCACCCCACCCCCCAAAAAAAAAAAAAAAAGGCAGCAGAACGCCCAGCCTGTTTCAGTGTGGGCAAACGTGAGCTGCTGGAAAGTGGTGTGAGTATGTGCCTGGAATAAGCAGTGGAGGCTCACAGTCAGCACTAACTTCAGCAACACAACTAGAAATGTTCAGAAGGGATCCCTTGGCAGCTGCACCCCAACTACCCACCTGCCAGTGGCAACATGGGAATAAGGAATGTGCTGCTGACACGGGGCACAGGAGATGCAGGCATCAGACTTGTGAGCAGCAGCTATGGAGCACCTGGGTTTGTTGGAAATCAGAAGCAATCCATGCTGATGCTTTGGGAAAAAGGATTTGGTAAAATGCTGTGATCTACAACCACCAGAATAAATGCAGTCGTTGTTGCCTGTTGCTGAAGCATGGAGTGAAGATCACAAGTACTGCCCAGCTTTTTTGTCTTCCCCTTAATTGTTCTTTGGAGGGCAACTGCCAGTTTGGCTTGTTTGAACCAAGCCTTCTTATTTTATTAAGGTTTTACAATCTCTTATTGCTCCTGAACTACAATGTGCAATTAAAGGAGAGAGAACCACACCACTGAAGATCTGAGGTACAAAGTACAGCTATATTTGTGCCTATATGAGCCACAGACATCCCTTTTTACTCTTCTGTTTTCCCCATACCCCAAAAAATCAGAGACTATATATTTAAGGAAGAGAGGCGTGAAGCAGTTTAGTGAAGATTATGTAAGCCAAACAGAAGAGAAGCCACAAAAATACTGGCAAAGAGGCAACGTGATCTCAAATGGAACTGAGTGTAGATAAGTGCTGCAAAAAGCAGCATTTGCAGGAAGGAAGTGTTTAAATGCTCCATATATACTGCTCCAAATTAAATGCCTTTATGTTAAAAAAAAAAAAATGAAGTGGTTACGTAGGCAGCTATTAAGTTGTGTTTAGAAGAGGAAAGGCCCATTGTAACTTGGGGTAAAGCATTCAGTTTTGCTCACATAATTTCAGGAAGATAAAAAAGACCAGGAAAAGCTGTAAGATAGGAGAGTTATGGAAGTTACTCCAAAAAAAAAGCAAAAACACCCACCTCGATGAAGTCCATTGAACAGAGGAACCACAGCTGTAGTTAGGGGGAACAGAAAGGAAAGGTGACAAGTGCCCCACAGAGACAGCTGTGAGTGCTTCTTACCCCTTCTCTAAAATGTAGGACCATACTCTGAGGTCAGCAGCTGGGACTGAGGAGATGGAGGAGGAGGAGAATGGTTTTCTCAGAAAATGGATCTGCAGAGCAGTTTGCCCAGAGCAAGCAGAGCTCAAGGAGCAAAGGAGGCTCCTCTGAACACAGGCAACACCTGCAGGGACCACTGGAGCCTGTGACCTGCCTGCTGTGTCTGGGGATGACCTGACACGAGATGACCTTAAGCTGCAGAGGTGCTGGGTTAGAGGCACTGAGCTGCTCCGGATACACACAGGGCAAGAGGGGGAAGAAATGCCTGTTCTCTGCTTGAATATGGAAAGGATAGATGACCTTCAATTCCAGTCTAGAAATTTGTTTTAAGGGACTGGTAAACCCCACAAAAGTACAAACCAGCAGTTAGGGGTAGAAAGTTTGTTTCTAATGTGAAGTTCACCTAAATTTTTTTGTCCCTCCTGCATGCGATGTTTTCTAGTGATGTTTGGTGTATACATTTTATACAAGGAGCAAGGCTTCCAGAGTTTGATCCACCCTCTAACTAAATGCTTTCTGAGGTGCTAAACACTGATGATTTCTCTCTTGGCTTGCCTGAAAATTTCTGCTCAGGAGGAAACAGAGCCAGCTGATGACAGAAATACATACGATCCCCAAACAGAAAGGCAAGAGGCTCCTAAATAAACTTGTTTATTCCCAGTCTCTCAGCAACAGAGCCCTGGATTTTAAAATAAAGGCAAAACCCAGTAAAGAACAGTCCATGCATGGCCAAAAAAGGAATATGCTTAAGGAAAAAAAAAAAAAAAGAACCCATCAAGAAACAAACCCCCAAAAGCCCTCTGTTCCTGGTGAGGCTCGAGAAGGCCAGATCCTGTGCAACAGATTAAAGACCAGCAGTACAAAAGAGGACCTGCACCCACAACGCCCAGACACAGGAACGGATTCTTTGTTAAAGCTGGGCTGTAAATCTGGCACGCTTAGAATCTGAATTCCCATGAGACAATAAATAATGTGAAAGCAGGTACCCCACGCCTAAAGCCAGAGCTTTAAATTATTTGACAGTGCACCTTTAACTACAAAATCTCAGTCTGCTTCTAAAGGTAAAAACGTAGCTCTAAGCTCGCCAGGAAATGTCATAGCTTCATAAATTCTATGAACAAACCTTCTATTCTTGCAATTCCAGCAGAATTATTAAATCTATCAGCCACAGATGAATGTATCAATTTATCTTAATTTCTGAAAATACAGTGAGCCTCTTTCAGTGAAAACTTCATTTTTCTGTTGCTCAATGAAAGAAAAAGGGAGGGGTCTCTGCAGAGATTAATTAAAGCAAATTTATCCCTCCATAAATTACCGTCTCCAGACTGAAATAAAACACAGTGTGTTTCAGAGGGGATAAGCAAACAGATGAATGAAGTAGTCTTATTTCCTGCAGATCAAGCAGTGTGACTGTCTGCTGTGGCACTGGAGACAAAGGGCTTGCCCAGCCACTGTCATCACTCTTGGAAACCAGCATTTTCAGAAAGGAAGAGAGGCTGAATACTGACACAGCCCCTCCCGCAGAGAACGAGTGTGTTACACAATTTCATGACATGCAACACAAGGATCAAATGGCTCCAACCTCTGCCACCATTACAGAGGACATGGGACCTCCAGGGTGACTTTATTACTTGTGGTTTTTTGTAGCTCACGGGGTGTATGTATGGCAATATGGGTTGCTGTGGTTTGATATCCTCTGAATTGCACAGGGGCATTGAGATTTAGGAATCTGTCTTAGAAGAGACCAGCCATGACTTTTCAGGGGAGACTTGCAGAATTTTAGCTGAAGCTAAACTGTGCACTATAGCAGCAGTGCTGCCATCTTCTAGCCCTGTGCTGAGGCCAACTAGCTTAGATCAGTGGCATCCAGACACCTATAAAATTATACATTCAACTTCTGAAAGAGAAACCCCAGAGTTTAACGCAGAAATCTTCACTCCAGGCTATGGAAAGGATTCCAGACTAGCCACCTGGCTTCAAGGGTCTGGGACACTCCAGTGGGTTTCCTAGACTGGATTTCAGAGTGCCCTATTGCAAGATAACACAGGTACCATCGGCGTTGGTGGGTCACAGTGACATGTTACTACTAGTAAGCATTTTCAGTCAGCTGGCTAACTCTTAATTTTAAAGCCCTCAACTGAGCAGCTCAGTCAGTCAGTGAGCAACAGAACTGTCCCCAAGCCAGGCACATAATGATCCAAAGTCATTGCCAGCAACAGGGTTATTACTCCAGTTGTTGGGGATTTCTTTCTGGGTAATTAACAGACTCAGTCCCTTGCAGCCAGAAGTCAGATGGATTGACTACAGACAGAAAGTTGCTCTCAGCTCTGGGAACTCGAGCTGAGGGCTGAGGCACTCAAATGGGCAAACACTGAGCTGCTGGAATCCTTCTTCCCTCAGGAGGGGAGTATTTCATCATCTTGCCAGGGTGAGCACTAAGCAGCCTAAGAGTCAGAGAGCTCCCCACAAGCTGACTTACCCTTGCTGGGAGGAGTGCATGCATCAGAATCTGTGACCACAGAGTGGGGACAACCCAGCTAATCATGCTCCAAAGCTGACCCTCACAAGTGCCTGCTCACACCATCGCTGTTTCTTCTGTGCACTATCTTACTACTCCCAGCTCTTTCAGCTTTAGTCACACGCAAAAGCAAGGACAAGACAGATCATTCACATTCTGCGCCTCAGAACAATTCTTACTTTTCAAAACAAAAGTGATTTCCAGAGAACTTGGCTCACCTTAAAGGATATTTCATACTGCTCTCCTCCCCATATCTCCAGACCTGCATCATACCCTCCCAGCTCCCAGAACCACTTTCTGTCGACTGCAAACAGTCCTCCAGCCATTACAGGAGACCTTAAGGAAAAAACAGACTCCATATTACAAACACATTTAAAGATACAGATCTCTAACTAAACATTTAAAAAAAAAAGCAAGATTTGACAAATATTCTTTCACCACACAGAGTTCCTGGTGCCTTTACAGCCCTGTCAGAGCATCAAACAGTTGTTCTGGCATTATCTGCTGATTTCCCACTTGCAAAGGAGGACCAGACTAGATTCCTTCAGAACCAGCCACTGCCTCTCCTCCAAACAGGCAGGAGTTCACCATTAAGTGACAGGACACAACCTCTCCCAGGGGGACCTGAGTGCTGCACACGTGGTGCTCTGCCTCAGTCCTATGATCAAGTAATTGAGTTTAACCTCAAAAAGGGTTTAGTTGAGGTTTTTTGGTTTTTTTTTTAAACACTGTATAAGGGACAGCAGAACTGTCTCAATGGTGGCAAGCACAGCAACAGCAGAACACAACTTGATCACAGATTTACTTCTGCAGTGCACTGCAACCATCAAAATTGCTGTAATTATTCTGCTAGGTTTTCTTCTTCCCACACCTGGGAATGACATATAAGCCACCACTGGTTTGCTGTTTTCGGCAGAGCATTAGGGATGCTAAGTTCTGTTTGAAAGATCTCGGTAACAAATGATCACATTAGATGTTACACATTACAGTTTTCAATTAAATGTTAACTTCTGTGGAAATTAAGGTGGCAAAAAAAACCCCCAGCAGTGAAAAGGAGAGTGTTTACAGTTACTACACAGTGCATTTCTTTTAAACCAACAAAGCAAATGACTGCCAAAAAGCAAGCAGCTTAACACCAGTTTCTGACTTCTACTATGCTGAGATGTAAACCAGCCCTGTAAGGGGGTGTTATTTCATTAGCTGGCTCTCAGCACGCCGTGTTGCAGTAACTTACTCAAAGGGATCGCTGGGATCAGGTTTCTGTAACTCAGGAGGAATGGGGATCCTCTTGTAATACATCTCCCAGTCAAATGCACCCCGCATTGCGTCTCCAGCCTGAGTCTCATATCCGAAGTGGTCGTGATCAATAACATCGATCATGGGGCAAACGATAGTCTTGCGGTTTCGGGCAATGCGATCTGAAGATTGGAGAAACATGTTAGAAAACCCCCACCAAATGGTTCCTTTGACCATAAAATCACAAAAAAAAGAGTGTCAAAATATGAAGTTGTCCAAGAACGACACAGTTTTCTCCCCATTCCTTCTCTTCTGGGCAGATGCTCCAATTTATATCAATTTATCTGCTACTTCTGGAATAATTAATAACTGAGATAAAAACACCAGGCACTCATCGCCCAGAAGCAAAATAGGAAGACACAGGCACACTACAACAGATATCTACACTGCCAGGCTAGAACCAGGCACTCTTGTCTCAGTGAGGAGCCCTCATTTTCACAAGTAACCGGGATGTGACCCTTTCTGCATGGATCCAAACCCAGGGAAATAACCCACTGCACCACCCAGCTCTAATTGCTACGCCAGGATCTGGCAGGAAGCGCTTCAGACTAATGGCATAACTACTCTCAGCAGGCTCAAGAAAGGCAAGTGTTACCTCCTCCCCTCAACCTTTTCTTCCAACCAAACACAACAACACAGGATTAATTCCTGCATAAGCATCTGGAATTTCTTAAATACTTTATTAGTGAGACAGTCTCTTGTTGGAAGTTAACTTTCAGAGCAGAGGCGACAAATGATGTCTCAGCTTCCAAAACACGTCAAACTCAAATCCTTTCTGTGCTTTAAAATCAAAGCACACTCTACGTGTTCTCATTTAAATGACATTTGAGCTAATTCTGTCCTCCCTCCCTGGGGCTCATAAAGCTGCAAATGTTTTACACTATTGCCAGATATAAGCTGTAGTGAAAGCAAGGGGATAACCATCCAACAATCCTGCAGACAAATATGACTTCTGTTTCTTAAACCTGCACTTGACTATTGTTGCCAAAGTCACATCTCAGAAAGAGCTTTGGCAGGTCACTTGCAATGGGCTTGTAAAGGAGTTTGGTACTGACCAGAGGCAGACAGGTACCAGAAACAGATGACACTGTCCCTTCAATGAATCATCTTTGAAAAGAGCTGACATTGTCAAACTGATGACCCCTTAAAGATGAAGCACTGCCTCGGAAAAGAGTGCCCGTGTTCTACAAATACATACCAGCAGCTCACATTCACAAGTATTTTCCACAGGCTTTCAGACTGTGAAGTTAAAAATAGTTATATAGGAGATAAAAACCCTAAAAGCTACTTAAAACCTGTATGTAAAGATCTTTTCTGTATGATAAAGCCATTCCTCTCTGCAAGCTGCTGAATGACCATGTGATAGTTTACTCTTCTAACACGCTGTAAATTATTTAAGATTTCATTTAGCAAGGAAAGAGAAGAATACGATCTCTGCTCTTTAATTAACCAAAGCAAATGACAGGGTTATTGCACAGGACTGTAGAACAGAAAAATTCTTGCATTAAAAGCTACAAGTTTCCAACGATTCACTTGAGTCTTTTGGCTGGTTTGTTCTCCCTTTTATATTTCATGTTCCTTTTGCCCATTTACAGTATGAGAGGGAAGCAGCAGGTGGAAATAACCCAAATTTAACACCACCCCCCCCCACTCACCTAACAGGGGTGGCAGCCAGTTCACGTTGGCCTCGCAGTGGGAATCCAGGAAGGTGATGACGTCCCCTATGGCCACAGAGGCCCCCAGCATGCGAGTCCTGATCAGCCCTTCCCTCTTTTTGGTTCGCAGGATTCGTACATTTGGGAACTGGGCCATGTAATCCTCCAGGCGTTTCTTCAGGTGTTCTGTAGGAAAATGAGAAATCTGAACACTGTAACAACTAATTTCTTAAAAACGCGGTTCCGCCTCTACCAGAAGGGGATGCCTTTGGAAGTATGACCTGAACAGTTAACAAATGCAGTAACAGGAAAAAGGAAGTAAGAATAATTGCTTTTAAATTCCAGGTTTAAAAATAACTGCTTAAGCAAGACTTTTGAAGATGTTCCAAAATCTTAGAAGCAATTAAACAGAAAAGAAAAAAGAGAAGGAAAAAAAAAAAAAGATACTAGGAGGAGACGAAGGAGTGTTGGATGAGAAAGAAAGCAGCAGAGGAGGAAGAAAAGGAATAAAAAACCAGATGGTAGACCTCAGCTGGGATTCTTGTACACTTGTGGAAAACCAGAAGAGACACAGGGCAATTTACTTTCAGAAGTAAACTGCACTCAGTGCATCAGTGCATTTAAGTTGTGTTTGATTTCTTCAAATCACACAACATAACATCCACTCATGCATAAATAAAAACCAGCAAAAAGCCTAGTCAGACAGCCCTCCAAGCCACGATGCAGGTACAGTCACAGTGTGTATGGGGATGGCTTCGTTATGCGCTTATCAGAGGAGATATTTGCATTTAAATATGGAAATATTTACACTGCTGAACATGGACTGGAGCCACATCTGAATTAGCACAGACATTGGCAGTCACCACGATTAACAAGAATTCAAACAGAAGAGCTGCAGAGGAAGATCACTGAGTGATCAAAACAATGGACAGCTTGTTCCAAAAGTGGAGATAAAAAGCTTGGTCTACATAAAGAATAAGGGGCACACAGTTGTCTTTACATCAAAGAGAGAAGCAGCAATGAAAAACCTAAAAGTAGGCTGAGCTGACACTGGCCTCATCACTAATGGGTTGATCTTTAGGCATCTGAAGTTTTGACTTACTTGACAGCAAACCTCATTGAAGAGCATGCCAGGGACTGTTCATTAATGCCCCACATCACCCACTGCCATCAGCAACCGATGGGGAAAGAAGCCTCACTGAGCAAAACTTGTTAAATCTAAGCAAACAACTCATCTTAAAATCTCACGCAACAGAACTCGAGTAGAGGCAGTCACTGAAATACAAATAACCTTGCAGGGTTATTCGTCTTGACCGCAGGGAACACATCCACTCCACTCTGTACAGCACAGTCTTCCTCAGCTTCCAAAGCAGGCATGAAAGGCAGGGGCTGGAAAGGCCAACAGCGTGAAGTGCCCTCGAGCAGGGCACCAGGGAGGCTGGGCCTTGGAACAGCTCTCTGGAAAGAGCAAAGGAGCAAATAAACTTAACCCAGTTCTGAGCTCTCCCCCTTGGTGCTGACCTGGAGCTGTGGAAACAGGCAGAATCCCTGTGACTAACACACACTCTGCACCTTCCCTTTGAAACGGCCATCGCCCGCCTTCCTTCAAAGATCATCCAAATCAACTTCCTTGCCTTTGAGGTATTCCTAGCAAGCTCTTTGCCCTGTTCAAAGCTTTGTTTAACATTCCCCAGGATCTTCTTTTCACAAACCCATTTTAGTGTTTTGCCTGGCAAGTCTAATTGTCCCACAATATCTACATAGGTTTCCCTGCTCAATAGAGCCCTTAGGACTTCTTGCTGTCTAGTGTACTTTTCCCTCATCCTTTTCAAATCTCTTCTGAATAGATCCTCTCAAGCAACTAGAAATTTTGTCCACTCAATTACAGATTTTTCAAATAAGGGCCTTCCACAGAGACCAGATGTATTATTAGAGCAGCTGCCTTCCTCCTGAGGCAGTGGGTAGACTTAAAACAAGAAGAAAAAAAAAAAAGAGATAAAATAAAAAGCTACCACCACTGTTTAACATAAGAGCTCATCCCTTGCCATTGTTAGTTTATCACAATAGACTGTTTCATCAGAGAGAACAAACAATCCTCACTTCAAGCATAAATCAGCTAAGCCCAAGACAGGACATAGACCTTAGTTAATGTACCCAAGACCAGACAAACGTGAGAGTGGCTGCTGGTGCTCATTAAAATAAAGGAGGGAACCATCACACGAAGCTCTTGCTCTGATTCCCCAGCAGTAGCAACTGATAGTGTAGCACCTGGAAGATCAGACCCCAAACCAAACCTACGAAACACTGGAAAGTCTTAAAAAATCCAAAGCTCCCAAAGAGTGTAAAATATATAGAGACCTTCTGCAACTCTTTATTTTGATAGAAATGAGAAAACGAGACTGTGAAAGATCCTAGAGATTTTTCTTCCACCTGTGTGCTGGTCCTTTTACATTTCAGCATCATGTATCTTTCTGAACTGTTCTGCTTTGTTGCGCAGTTTCATCTCTGGTGATGCCTGAAGGCAGCTGAACCAATTCCTCCAGGGGTAGGAGCAGAGCACACTCAGCCTGCTACCAAACATGAGTGCATTGGGGGATCTGGTCCCACACATGAACACACACACCCCAGAAGGTGAATAAAGAGTCGCTGGACTCGGCCATATCTGTGGTGACAATGACAGCTGCTCTGCCCCAGACTGACTGAGGACAGGTTGCTTTATACCTATTAATGAACAAGTAGCTAAAAACTGAGAGATTTCCCCATTTTTATTGTGTAACAGGGGAAAAGAAGACACAGAGGAAAAAAAGGAGCCTGAGTTTTCTCAGGTGAGTAGTCTGCAAAGAGACAGCAGCGAGTCTAATCCACTGACTTCCCCCTGCGTTCCCAAATGCTGGGTTTGGTTCTTCAGCACTTCTTCACTGTGTTTCCACAGTAAAAAAATACCAAAGCATTTCACACTTGCAGTGGGTAGCCTGCTGTACACTGCACTGGTAAGAAGTGTCTCACATCAGGAATGTTATGTCTCTGATGGCTGGGAAAAGCAAGGAAAAGCTGCAGAACTCCATCAGCACCCACGTATTCACACTGCTCTGCAGGGACACACGTACTGAGTGCTGTCCTTCAGCCAGCAGGGATGATGCTCAGATAAGCTGCTCCCAACTGCTGCAGAAAAATCCACATTTGATCACTGCATTTTATAAGGTTAAGACTTCTGTATCATGAACTACAAGTGGGCAGAGTTTATTGAATTTACTTTCCCTAACTAAAAGAGTCACAGACTTCCAAGCAATCTCTCAGTGTACAAAATTCTATAAAACGTACTCTTCAAAGACAGAGTTTTCTTATTTCCTTATCCTTGGGCTATTCCTGCCACCCAGGTTTCTATATGCCCAGATAGAAAATAGTTATTTCATTCTATTTCAAATACTGGCACAATTTAGCCAATTTTTGCTTTTAAAAGAAAACACCAAAAAAACAAACAAGTGGCATTAACTGCTAGAAAATTTTATGGGGCTTTAAAAAAATATACCACGGAATCTTGTCACACTGAGTAATTTTTATTACAAGGACAATTTTCTTTAATGAAAGTTGTTAGGTGAACTGGATAGATTCCAATGGCTGTGCCTACGCTGGGCACAGCAACACAGCCCAAATATATAAATGAGAGTAAGATTATCTGCAGATTAAAAACCAGGCTGGTAGCTTGCTAACAGACTTTGCAATAAACTTGATATACAGTGTATACATTAACAGCACCAGTCAAGAACTACTGCTTTCTTTACTTTGAGCTGTAAATAAAACTGTCTGAAGAGAGCATAGAAGCTTCAACAGCCACCCTGCCTCACAGAAGCAGCCCTAATGCTTTCCAGAACAAGATTTTTTTTTTTTTTTTCCCCCTTAGGTCAAATTGCCAAATGGTGATCTTACTGTACTTCTTCCTACTGGCCTCATCCAAGCAGAACTGCCCTCAGATGCAATTAGTCTGGTGACCATTTGTAGCACGGCAAGGGCTTTCCAAGGTGGGAATTTCTCACGTCCAGTTGACTTTTCATTCCACCCACTGCACACCTACCACCTCAACAGGCACCTGAGAACTTCAAAGCCAAACATGTGCAGAAGCCAGAGGAGGACAGAAGAGTCCAAAGGTTTGTTTTTTTTGTACAACTTAAATACATGAGAAAACAAGAGAATGTAGACGTGGGTCTATGGGAAAGGTAGCACTGCAGTTTCAGGGTCCATGGGCATCAACTGTTCAAGTCACCATCCTGGAGGTGTTTTGGAGGTGTCTGGATCTGATGCTGGGCGATGTGGTTTAGGGTTTGCAGGGATAGTGCTGGGTTGATGGTCGGACTTGACGATCTTAAAGGTCTCTTCCAACCCTGATAATTCTGTGATTCAGAGTCAAAAGCAGCAGTTAACTCGATCCACCCCTCAGAGCAAACCATACAGCATCCCCTGCCTCCTCCACATCCCATCAGCTCAGCCATGCTTTCTCAGAGGCTTGTGCAAGTCACCAGTAGGTTTGTAGCCTCCTTTGAACTGCTTTGGCTCCGACCAAAGGCATTTCCCCACAGAAATCAGAGGAAGAGATCCAGCAGTTCTCCAGTTTCTAACATCTTTCCTGCATGCCTTAAGTTCAACAGCTATTTGCCTCAAGAGCTGCTCTGCAGTACAAAGGAACCTCACTCCCTGGAGCTCACATGGCTCGGTTTTTACAACTGGCTGCAGCCGCTGTAGTTGCAGCTCACAGAGGAAGCCTGGCCTGTTTTGTGCCCTTTTCTCTTCCCCAAATCACACACCAAGACATAACATCTTTTTATGTATGTCCCTGTAACATCCCTGCAGTATTTGGCAGGGAAGGGAGTACCAATATTTGTCATGGAAAAAAAAATAATTCATTGTAAGTACCAGCCAGGACTTGAAACCAGTAGAGATTTATGTCCTGGGAAAGAATTATGAATGAAACACTTCCCCTGTCCTACTGGTGGAACATTTCATGGTTCATATGATACTATCAGCTTTGGTTTCTGAATTTTACACTGCACAGCACATCTGCAACTCCAGAGCCCTTTGCCATATGTGTGTCATCAACCCAACCCAGAATGAACAGCACTGCAGAAATCGGAAACATTCCCAGACACCTTCCCACGTTACTCAGATGCCCCTGGTGACACCACAGTTCCCTC